TGCATGTATCATATACTTTATTTTTATAGTAAAGCTAGAGAAAAGGAAATATTAAGAAAATAAGGGAAAAAATTTACAGTACTGTACTGTAAAAAATTTACATATAAATCGACCCATGCAGTTCACACCTGTATTAAATCAAGGATTATCTGTTGTTTATTGCTTAACATTCTAGAACACTCTGTGGTAACAAAATTTAAAGGATAAAATGTATAAGAAGGGCATATATGCTAATAAAAACAACTTGGTACTGAATTGGGTGTCTGGTTGACCCTACCAAGTTAAAATTACTGTGTAAAGAAATGTATGTTAGCAGCATGGTTGTTGGTGTATTCATTCAGATCATATGTAGATGCGAATTTATGTAAGTTGTCAAATAAATGAGAAAAGACTATGACTTGGTATAGTGTCTGACATGTATTTGCCCCTGGATAAATGTCAGTGCCTTTTTTACCTTTAAGATACATTGTTTAGTTAACAAAAAGAGGAATTTATAATATAGAAAAAGTATAAGTCATGCCTAAATATAATAAGCATCGAATTCAAGATTATGTTTAACTTGTGTTAAGGAGTTAGGGATGGAGAAGGAGGAGCATGCTGTCTGGTAGTGTTATATAGAGGGCTTTGTTTTTTTTTCCCTAATTGTTTTGTGTCTTACCTGGGTGATGGGTACACACATAGTTGTTATATCAGAATTTTGCATGTTCACAGTATTTTATAATGAAACATTAATTACAAAAGAGCATCAGTATAACTAGACATTTGTAAAGTAATATAAACTTTGAGCTAGAATGGAATTTAGCAAGCATTTGGTCTGATCTCAGTTTTACACTTGAGCAACCTGAAATCTAGACGGTTAGGGTGATTTATCCTATCTCAACTGTTATGCTAATGTTAGAACAGACATTGAGTAGATCCAGTTTTGTTAGTTTAGAAATCCTTGGTAGGCCAAGCTTTGTATAATTACGTATTTTTAAAACGTGGTAGATTATATGATATTTCACTATTATTATTTCTTCCTGTAAGATCTTAGATTATATATTTATGCCTTTTGCCATGAGACATGAAGTGTTTTCCAGTGGTTGCTTTTTACTTCTCCACCCCCATAATGTCTACTGTGGTTTTAACCAACAGACTATGAATGAAAGTGGCATATACTGTGTCTAAGAGATAGCTTTAAAACCCTGGTATATTGTATGGGTCTATCATTGGGGTCTTTTCCCTTTGCCACAAGACCTAGTGTGTGAGGGTGCTGCTCTTTCAGCCTATTACCTAGAAAGAATGTTCTTAGCCAGTAGGATTTTCAGGGCGGGGATTGTTGCCCCAAAATTATTTCCTGGAAGCTGGCTGATAAACAAAGTAAGCTTTTATTCTTTCTCCTTAGGTTAGGTTGATAAGAAAAGTTAGAGCTGTTTCCTGGCATTTGAAGGATTATACATCTTTAAACTTCTCATAAATCATTCTGGGAGTTTTTTAATTCACCCAAGCAAACAGTGAAAATTACATTTGGACAACTTGTTTAAATTCCTGAATTTTAACTGAAGTTACTTCTGTAACTTCACTGTTACCTGCATAGGTGGTAGAGTTTGGGAGTGGGCCAAGCTGGTGGATAGGGACCTGATGGGTAACTGGTTAATTTTCTAAGGGGGTGTAATTTGATAAATGTATTCCAAAATTGGATTTGTTAGATCAGGTTGATTAGTTTTAATTTGCCTATATAACAGAATGGTTCCAGAAATATACTTGGGGAAGTGGTATTAGGGCATCATGCATTTTTTCATGTAGACTACCCTAGAATTTCTCAAAACATGGCAGTGAATGTAACAAGTTAGACTCCAGTGACCATTCTGGTTTTGTTGTAACCAAAATTGCAAGAGCATGATTTGATCTTATTTTGTCCAAGAAATTGATGGTACAGAAATTCCCTGTTTCCTTTGTTGTTGATCATCTTCTAAAAATTTAGTGTGGGGATATTTCATTCCACATTTTGATACTCCAGCTGATATTTGTAGGGTTGATGACAGGCAGAAGGGATTCTTTGTTGAGGTGTCAAATATTATGATCACTCAATACTTTACTGAATAAGTGTTAGATAACAGATTTCACCGATCGATATTTTTTTTAAAGATGGTAAGATAGCTAATGAAGGTGTTTTTATGCAATCGAGAGAAGAACAATAGCATTAGTAGAACCGAAGAATTGTGAACCACAGAAGATTCTGGGTCCTTAAGTAAATATTGCCAGTGCTTTGTGAGTGACTGGGGGAGAAAACCTATAGAAAGCAAGGGAATGTGGAAACATGATGAAAATCTTTATAGGATTTTAAATGGAAGTAGGGAGAGTAGTGCTTATGTTTAAAGTTTTAGGAAAATTATTAACAGAGATGTTATCCAGTTTTTAAGATAAAAATGTCGGAGGTCTTTATACTAAATTTGTGCAGATATGTATCAAAGTGGATGGATCATTGCATTATCAGGTTTACTGGTCTCATTAAGGGGTAGTAAACAGTAAAGCAGAGTTAAATACTTATTTTGCAACATACTGCATATTCTTCATGATTTTATTTTCAGGACTCTTACAGAATTCTCAAGTAAAATACGAGTGTGTGAAATAAAATCACACACTTCTCAATGGAGAATGGGTTCTTAATCAAGTAGCAGAGCTATGTTTCTAAAGAGGCTAGGAATCGTGAGCATAAAGTGATTAAGAGTAAGCTATTACTAGTCCTATTGACCAATATTTATTTAAGCCATTTAATGAAAACTCAAATTTGAATAAAAATTATTTCCAGCATCCCATTATTTGGAATAATGTTACACTAATGCCATTTAACAGCCAGAGTGTACTTGGAGTGCTTATGTCAAAGCTAAAAATGTCAAGTCCACTTAAATGGCTTTGCTTCACGTTTTGCAAGTTTGTGCTGAGTTTTATTTTTAAGTACAATTCATCAGGTATCCATAACTTTGAATTAGGATAGTGTTTGTGTGTGACTGCGTGTGTTTTGATTTAACAATCCAGGTACTTCCTATTGTTTTGTTAACTGTTCTTGGAAAGCGGTAGTACAGATCCTTGTTTATTCATCAAAGAAACCCTCCTGTAGACTTATTACTTAACCTGTAAATCTTGGAGTATCTTATTAATATGTTTCAGTTTCATCAAAAAGTTTCAATATAAATGTTCACCTTTATTTTCATACCGTTTGGATTCTTAGTAGAGTACTTGCCCTCATCTGCTTCCCTTGTTGCTGGGCAAGGTTTGTGATGCTGATGTCTGATTGGTTTTAGACAACTACGGCTTTGAGCCAATCAGACGGTGAATTTCAGTTCTCTCACAGGACGAAGTACTGAAGCAGCTGCTGATTTATTTTTCCTATGGGGAGATTATATAAACTAAGAGTATGGCTGCAGCAAGCTCCCTCTTGGGTATGTTTGAAAAATTACAGGGTTCATCTGTAACTGAAGGAGAAAAAAATGAGGTTTATTTTTAAAACTTGTTTACTAAGAAAATCTGATAGGTAGTGAATTTGAGAAAAAATATATTCAGATGACAGATTTCCTATTTTTATTTTATAATTTTATGTTTAAAGGACTGTAGAATATGTAGTGTAGGAAAAATTTCCATTCAATTTACATGAATATTTACTGTTGTAATCCACACATTTGCTTTATTGCTTCAAAAGGGGAGAGCTCATAACCTGCTGTGAAAGGCTAGGCAGTTAAGGAGAAAAAGATATAGTAGCTGTACTTACAACACTTAATATAAATTGTCAAGAGTCAGACATTTTAATCTCATTAGATGAATCAAACGAAGTCAGTTCGGTGCAGTAGACAACAAAACACTTTATGATGCTGTATGTAGTAAACCTTTGGGTCCAGAATACTATTAATTTTTGGAATCAGAAACCTGTAACAACAGTGATAGGTGGGTATGAAAATAATTTTATTATTTTCATTTAAGGTATTGCTGAATTTTTAGTTACAAATGTTTTATAAACGTTAAACAGTGTGGATTTTTTAAAAAAGAAATTTACATTGGAATTTTGCAGATTCTTATCCATGGGGTGAGAAGTGTATTCTTATTATGTATTGTCCATGTTTGGCTTATTTCTCCAGTTAGGGAGTTGATTTATATTTCTGGAAACACTCATGGATATTTAAAGGAAGATAAATTGAAATAGCATAAAAGTTGTAAATTTTTATTTATTTATTTATGTGATATATTAAATATGTATCATATGGATTTAGATTTTATGCTTATATGTTCTAGATTACTTATATTAGACAAAGAACCTCACTAACGTATTGCGGATCCAGGTTTTAACTATGTTTCTCTGACCTTATTGTCTGTCTCCTGTTGCTGGGCAGGAATCAGGATGCTGGCTACTGATTGGCTGAGTTTGTGAGCAGCTCTTGAACAGCCACTTAAATTCTTGAGCTTTTTGAGCAGGCAGATTGTAGGCTAAGACATTACAGCTTTTGGTAATACTTCCCTTTGTTGTTTCATAGCTATGATCTCTTTGCTAGAAAAAAAGAATAAAAGTTATAGGTGGAAGAGGGATGAAGCAGAGAAGAAAATGTTTTCACTTAAAAAATGAAGAGGCTCATTGGGCTTTCCTTAAAAAATAATTTACCCAAAATTTGAAAAAAATTCCAAGCTATAGGTACTTATTTACAGGTAACATACCCTTCTTGGATATTGCAATATAAATTCCTTTGGTAAAGGTGAAAAATCCTTTATAATGCTGTAGGAAAAGATTTTATTAGTGATGATATTATCTCAGAGTTCTTGAATCTGAATACACAGAATAGGGACCTAAAAACAGATTTTTGATTATCTTCTTCATGAAAAAATATTTTCTAGAGAAAGCTTATGTTTTACACATTTACTTCTAGATATGGCAGACATTTTCTATATGAACTATATGATTATATGAATTATAGTCATATGAAAGCTTCATCATTTTAGTGTTGCAACCTAAAAAAGTAGTTTTTCTTTTGTAGAATAGTTTTGTGAATGGCATCTCAGTTCCAGATGACGTATTAAAATGATCCTTAGAAATGTATTGTTCCAGTAGTACAGCCATGGAGACTTGTTTGCAGGTAACATACCCTTTTCTAATGTGTATCTTTCTTAAATATACTTTCTTTATGCAAAATAGATTTTTAAAAAAGTTACTGCTGATTGGTTTGTACAGATATGGCTGAACTAGTTTGAACTGGTTGTTCATGCTACTTCCTTATGCTTTGTCTGTTTTTCATTATACTTAGAACCCATAAAAGATGTGGTAAATGGCTGTAGTGTGCTCCCTTGTGGGTATAGATGGTAGTTATTTTGTAATTCTTTGTACAGTATTTTGTTATTACTGAATTGAATGGCGATTTAATTCGTAAAACCAGCTTGCTTGAATGATGTTTATTTTTATTAAATGTTATTTCGTGGTGGCAATTTTTTAAAGTCATGTTTGCATGTTAAATTATCTAACTTATCTACAAAATACCAGAAATATTTAAGAGAAATTTGTCTCAGATTCTCTGATTTATGTCTGAAAATATTCTTATACATAGACAATCATGATAACATTATTGAGTGTTCACTAGTTTCTAAGTGCTTAATGTATAGAATCTCATTTAATCATGACTACAACTTCTGTGGCAGGTACTGTTAGCAATATTCTCTAAGATAGCTGAACTAAAATTAGGAAACTTGCCTGGTGCCATATAGTAAATACATGGGAGAGCTGGAATTGAAATCCATATTTCTTTCTGCAGAATTTGTGTTCTTAAAGGAGTTGCTAAAAATTATGAAAATAGACTTTTTTTTTTAAAGAGGAAATGCTTTCTATTAATGTACCTGTCAGTAACTGTCAGCTTCCATATAACAGCTGAGCAATGGGACTATTAAGAGATCAGAGGCCAAAAGAATTGCAGTTCAGTATTTAAAATATTTAAAAGGTAGTCATACTCCTTATGCTATAAATTTAATTATTTCTATCTTCGGAGTCAGCAAGAAAAAGTGACTACAAAATTTGCATTGCATCTTCTTTGTAGAAAAATTTTCAGTGAGTATGAGTTTGGAATGGATGGTGGGTGGGAAAAAACTTGAAGTTTAAATGGTATACTATAATGAATAGCCCTTAAAATAGTGCCTATGATAATTTTGCATTGAAGTTTCTGTTCAATTGAAAGATAATTTTTCTGAATAGTTTTACTGAGTTCCATAATTAAAATACTAGGAAGACTAAGAAATATATTGTAAGTAATTAGCTTAAAGTGAGCAAATGAATGCAGATTGTACCACATTCTAGAAGTATTGTAACAAAGTGATAGGTTCTTAAGCTGTATTTGCCTCTAACAAATAGGCTAGGCTTTGTTTTATGCCTTTCAGCCAAAAAGAACAATGGAACACCAGAATCAGATGTGTAATTGAACATGTTGATTTATTATTTGTTGCTGTGAGGAAGAATGCTTATTATGGGGGAAACTGAGGCACATCAGTCAATAAGAGGATATTAGAAACAAGGTTATGAGTTTAATATAGTAGAGATCGGGTTATTTGGGGGAGAGTTTGAGGAAATAGAGCTTTACTTTGGATTGGGGGCTATCAGAAAGTAGGAGCAATTCTATGCTTGGTTATCTCAATAAATCTTATCTGTAAGGGAGGACAGAAATAAAGCTGTAACTGACTAAAAACAAAGTAGCCATGCTTATTTAGTCAGAGAGAGAGAGGTTTGATATTTTATAGGTTGCACTTTGAACTTGTCTAATGTGAACATTGAGGTGATGTTATATTCAAAAGGAGAACAACATGGCTTCAAGTCAATTTTGTAACAGTGAGGTCTAGCTGTGAGCCTTAGATTAAGTTCCCAGATGTCAGAGGCTGCTTCTCCGAGCGCCCCCCCCACCCCCCCCTGCAGCCAGAGCAAGTGTATTCAACCATCATTCCTACAGGTAAATATCCAGTGTGAAACCAATATCCTTGCTTCCTGTATATCTGAGTGCATAAAATACTTCCATTTTATTCCATTATATAGACTAGTGACGTTGTTTTCTACAGGATGAAACCCTTGCATCTTTTGCTTGCCTTACTGCACTGGCTAGATGTTAACATAGAAATGGTATTAGGGAATATCCTTGTCTTGGTTCTGATTTTGATTTACCATTAAGTATTATATCTGTAGTTTTCTTTTTTTTTTTTTGTAGTTTTCTTTTTGTAGATAACTTTATTACATTTGTTTTCTTCTATTAGTTTCCTGAGAGTTTTAAATATAAGTCAGTGTTGAATTTTGTCAAATGAATATACTGTATCTTTATATGATCTTGTGTTTATTTTCATCCTCTGTTCTGTTTATGCAATGAATTTTGAATTCATTGCTTGAAATTTATTTATTTATTTATTTATTTATTTACTTACTTACTTACTTACTTACTTACTTATTTTACTTAAGTAGGGAATTTACTGTCTCATAGTTCTAGATGCTAAAAGTTTGAAATGAAGGCAATCCAGGGCCATGCAGGGATTAAGGAAGGACCTATTTCAGACCTGTCTCTTAGCTGTGACTTGGCGATAGCCAAACTCCAGTTTTTACATGGCTCTCTGTGTGCATATCTATATCCAGATTTCCACCTTTTTATAAGGATACCAATCATAGTGGATTAGGGCCCACCCTAATGACATTACTTTATCTTGTTTACCTTTACAAAGACTCTGTCTAAATAAGATTACATTCTGAGACATTGTAATATGAAAATAATATATTTTATCAGATGGACACCTTGGTTGGGCCTGAAAGAAAGCCATAATGCTTCATGACTCACTTATAATCTACATTGCTTCATTTTTTAAAAAATGAAACCAACCTTGTATTTTTTTTAATGAGCTTCACATAGTCATATATGCCTTTTTAAAGGAACTTTTAAATAACATGTGAAAGAATAAATCACAAGAGAAATTAGAAAATATTTTAGCAGAGCAACAATGAAGATGTAACACATCAAAATATGCAATGCAGCTAAAGCAACATTAAAAGGGAAATTTATAGCTTTATGTGTATTGCAAAAGAGGAAATATAGAAAATTAATGGTTAACGTTTAGCATGATGCAGAACTCCCAGACTTTTCCAGAGCAGCTGTACCATTTTATAATCCCACAAGCATTGTGTGAGGGTTCCAGTTTGTCTGTGTCTTTACCAATACTCATTATTCTCTTTGATTATAGCCATTCTGGTGTATATGAAGTGTTATTTCATTGCAGTTTGATTTATATTTCTCTGATGACTAGTAATGTTGAGCATCTTTTCATTTTTTAGTGTTTTATAGCATTGGTTTATTGGCAATTGGTATATCTTTTAGAGAAATGTCTATTCAATTACTTGGTCTACTTAAAAAAAAATTGAGAGAGCATGCACACACGTGCACGGGTCTGTGTTCCCTTGAGCAGAGGTGGGTGGGGAGAAGCAGAGGAAAGGGAAAGGGAGAGAACCTCAAGCAGACTTTTCATGTAGACTCCCTGCTTGATTCCACAACCCTGATATGACCTGAGTTGAAATTAAGAGTCAGATGCTTAATGACTGAGCCACCCAGGCACCCCAGTTACTTTGTCCATTTATAAGTTGGGTTATTTTTGTTGTTATTCAGTTGTAATAGTATTTTATATTTTTTAGATGCAAGTCTCTTAGATACATTATTTGCAAATATATGATATGTGAATGTTTCCTGTCGAGAATTGTCTTAGCAATTTTTGGATGGTAATCTTTTGTAAATATATTTATAGTACTGTTAATTTAGATATGCCTGATTGCAAATGCCATCTTTCCTTAATTTTCCTTTCTTTTTTACCTTATTTGTATATCTCTTTCCCATTCCTCTACTGCTTTTGGCCTCTCATACTTTGATTTTTCTTTCTCCATCTACTTTTTTACTGCATTTACTTTTTTTATGCTTCTATATCCTCTAGATTCTGAATTCATTAGCTTACTGAGAAAACTAGAAACTAGTCACTTTTTCCCTCCCTCCCTCCCTCCCTCCCTCCCTCCCTCCCTCCTTCTCTTCTTTCTTTCTTCTTCTTTCTTTCTTTCTTTCTTTCTTTCTTTCTTCCTTTTTTTTCTTTCTCTTTCTTTTTTAATGGGATGAATGGCCTTAATTGTTTGCAAAATGGGAAGTGGAGGAAGAGGGGACGATACAGTTCGGCTCCAAGAGTGGCTCTAAAGACTGACTCTTGCTGTCCTCCCAAAAAAGCTAGTCTTTTTTTTTTTTTTTTTTAGTACTTCATGATGATTGATCTTCTATGTGTGGTTCATACCTGTCATCAATTTTACATTACATAAGTCCAGTTAATATGAAAATTAGCACATAGCAAGGATTATTATGCTTTCTATATGTCATTATTTCAAAATTACATTAATAAGGGCTACTTGCTTGTTAAGATCAGTTTGCAGTTCATCTATTAGGTGGCTTCTGTTTCAATTATTAAACTCTCTCTCTTTCTCTTTTTAAAGATTCAAAATGGATAGTATAGAAGAACCTCAGAAAAAAGTCTTTAAGGCTCGAAAAACAATGAGAGTGAGTGATCGTCAGCAACTTGAAGCAGTGTACAAGGTCAAAGAAGAACTGTTGAAAGCTGATGTTAAGCTGTTAAATGGCAACCATGAAAATGGAGATTTGGACCCAACCTCACCTTTGGAAAATATGGATTATATTAATGACAAAGAAGAGGTGAATGGCATTGAAGAGCTTTGTTTTGACCCTGAAAAAAGTAAATCAGAATGGAAAGAAACGTCCTGTACCTTAAATGTTAATGTAAAAAACAAGCAGGATGATGATTTAAAGCATGAACCTTTGTCTACTAATAATATAGCTCCTGAACTAGTTTGTAAACTGACTGCTGAACCAGCTTCTGATGAGCCAGCCTCTGTTGATCTGGCTATGGGAGATCCAGAGTCTGGAGATTCAACCCCTGAAGATCTGGCTTCTGAAGTATTAACCTTTGGTGATCCCACCTCTAGTGATCTTGCCTCTGGTGATCCCACCTCTGGCGATCCCACCTCTGGTGATATCACCTCTGGTGAAATAGTCTCTGGTGAAACAGTTTCCAGTGAGCCATTCTCTGGTGAATTGGTGTCTGGTGAATCAGTCCCTGATGAATCAGTCTCTGGTGAACCGATCTCCAGTGATCCAGCCTCTGGTGATTCAGCCTCTGGTGATCTGTCCTCTGGAGCATTGGCCTCTGATGATCCACCCTCTGGTGATCTGGCTTCTGGTGACCTAGCCTCTGGTGATCCAACCTCTGGTGATCTGGCCTCTGATGAACCCACTTCTGATGAACTGACCTCTGATCCCACCTTTGAGCCAGCTTCTGTACCAGTTTGTGAACCTGTTCCTGAAACTGACAGTACAGAGCTTAGTAGCAATAAAGGTGATGATTTTCTTGAAAAAAATGGGGATGATGAAAAGTTAGACCAAATTTTCTCATTGGATGAGAAAAATAAAGCTGATAGTAATATTGATGCTGATGAAGAAACCCTAGAAACAGATGATACAGTTATTTGTTCAGATCTACCTCCTGAAAATGAAAAGAAGGTAAAGGAAGATGCTGTCACAGAACCTGCTCTTAGAGAGGAGGCTATCTCCAGCAGTATGGAAATTGACCAAAGTGAAAAGAATGAAGATGAAAATTCTGCAGACCTTGTAGAAACCATTAGTGAAAATATTATAAAAGATGACAAAAATGAAATTATCTTAGAAAATACAGATTCTATGGAGACAGATGAAATTATTCCTATTTTGGAAAAGCTTGCACCCGCTGAAGATGAACTTACTTGCTTTTCTAAAACTTCTCTCCTTCCAATTGATGAGACAAATCCAGATTTGGAAGAGAAGATGGAAGGTTCTTTTGGTTCACCATCTAAACAAGAAAGCAGTGAGAGTTTGCCAAAAGAAGCCTTTTTGGTCCTCTCTGATGAAGAGGATCTTTCTGGTGAAAAAGATGAGTCTGAAGTTATATCACAAAATGAAACATGCTCTCCAGGTTAGCATATTACTTAAGTTTTAAATATTTTGATTAGGTTTAATAAATTGCTTAATATAGCATTCTTATGAATTTTTAAGTTTTTTTAGCTGCAGAGAAACTTGAGAATGATGGTGACTAGAATGATCTCTTGATCTCTAAACTTCATAGATTCTTTTTTTTAGATTTTATTTATTCACGATATACATATATATATATAGAGGGGGGGGTGGGGGGGCAGAGACACAGGCAGAGGGAGAAGCAGGCTCCATGCAGGGAGCCTGACATGGGACTTGATCCCAGGACTCCAGGATCAGGCCCTGGGCCAAAGGCAGGCACTAAACCGCTGAGCTACCCAGGGATCCCCAACTTCATAGATTCTTAACAGAATTTAGATTTATACCCACTCTGTGAGCAATATTATGTGAATGGATAAGAAGGGAGGTAAAATAATAGGAAAATATGGCCCTTGACCTTAAGGGGCTTATATTCTAGGATAGAGATAAGATGGACCAACATAACACATGAGATAACAATTTCAAGTCAGTACATAATTGATCAAAGTTCTAACAGTTGTTCTTGCTATTACTTAGCAACCAAGCAATTTACAATGTAAAAGCCTACTGGTTTAAATTATTTGCTTCAAGTGTAACATCATATTTTACAATTAATTTTTCTCGTGAAATATGATTCCTCTAATATTCCTTGTCTACCGAATGACACAACCATTGCTAGAATCCAGAAACCTTGAAGACTGATAATCTATTTCATAAAGACTTCATCCATTTGCTTCCTCAGTCTTCTTGATTCTACCCAGATTCTACCCAACCTACTCTCTTCCTCCGCATCTTCTGAATGATTTCTCTGTAACGTAGTTCTATTTTATTCGATTGTGTTCTTCTCTTTTGTTGGATCCCTATTACTTTGATTTAATTCCAAACCCTTTTATATAAAAGGTATATAAACTTCATAGTTGGTTCAAAAGCCTATCTTTCCAAGGAATGAGAAAAATTGTATTTTGCTTTTCTGATCAAACTCAAACATGAAATCTATTTGAAATTTCCTCAACTCTTTTGAGAGTGGCATTAATACCTTTATGTTCTTATTGTATCACCAGACTCTTAGCCTTAGAACTCTGTGAGAAGAGTGACCTTGTAGCATGAAACACAGCATTTGATTTCTAGTTTGTTCAGAAGAAATAAGAGACAGGCCTAGGAGACTCAGGGATGTTTTTCCCCCCAATATATCATTACCAGTTTTTGGAAGTAAAGATTTTTTCTTCTTAAAAGATGTCTTCATTTCCAAAGATCATTTTTTCATTTATTAAAGCTTTATAGAGAGACAAACCAGGCTGTTCTTGGTTTTGGGGGTTTAAAGATAAAATTTAGTACTTGCCCTTAGAATGCAGACAAGAATTCAATCGCAGGACATTAAATACAAGGCTGTGAATACAGTAAAAATGGTAAATTGGTATTCTGGGAATTTAGAAAAGGGTAACTTTATAAAAACAGATGCATTTAGGAAAGCGCTTTCTTTTCACTATATGTATAATACAGGGTTTTAGTGAAGATAATCCCTCTTAATTGTAGCTTCATTCCTACTTGCTTAGGCCAAAAATCTTGGAAGCATTATTTTTTTCTTGTGTTTCATATCTCATCAGTCTATCAGGAAATCTCATTGGCTCTGCCTTCAGAGTAGATTTAGAATTCAGTCTGTTTTATCATCTACTATCATCACACTTGCTCTGAGCCACCATCTTAAGGCTAAAATAATGCTTGTCTTATAATAAGTACTCAGTAAATATTTGTGGAGTGAGTGAATAATCAATAATGTGAGAGAAGTGTATCATGGAGAACCTTGGTTACAATGCTAAAGCTTTCTGATAGTACTTGGGAGCCATTAGATGATTCCAGGCAGAGGAGAATGACATAATGAAGTTAGATTTTGGAAAGATAATAAGTAACCATATGTAAGATGACCTTAACTCATTCATTTAATAAGTATTTATAGAGAGAGTGGTATTGGGATAAGTACTTAGAAAACCTTTTAATACTCATAGCAAATTGCAGATTGTTATTTAATGAGTTTATACATTTTACCTTTATGCCAGGGTTTTGATATTAGAGACCATCCTTCCCACTCAATGCTGTTAAATGCCAAGAGATGACTATTAAGCCACCCATCCATGTTGCATACTTTGAAAATTCAAACTTGCATTCATTTTTGGTTACTTTTTTTTTTTCTTTCTTCTTTCTTTCTTCTTTCTTTCTTCTTTCTTTTTCTTCTTCTCTTCTTTCTTTTCTTTTTCTTTTTCTTTCTTTCCTTTTCTTCTTTCTTCAGATTTTATTTATTCATGAGAGGCCCAGAGAGACGTAGAGACATAGGCAGAGGGAGAAGCAGGCTCCCCCTTGGGAGCCTGATGTAGCACTCGATTCCAGAAGCCCGGGATCACAACATGAGCCAAAGGCAGATAGATGCTCAACCACTAAACCATCCAGGCTTCCCTCTCATTCTATTTCTTAATAGAGAAATAGGAAGGAGAGCTCTTCCCCAACTACTTTTTAATTGTATAAACATTGCTATTTCTTAACATTTAAAATCTGTTTTAGATTAAGCTATATTTTACACTAAATTTTGATTACAGTTTCCCTCCAAATTTTATTTCAAATGAAAAATGTATCTGGTTGATTTGTTTTTCCCTATTCATTGGCTCTTTAAGATAAATATAAGTGCTTATGAGGGTAATTGCACAGGAATAGAATTTCATGGGGTTTGTCTGTTTTTAGTTTAGGTTAGTAGCGATAGAATTACTGTGGTTTAGTTAATTAAAATTTATTGATAATTTATTGCCAATGTTTATAGTGTTCAGCTGAAGTTCTTTATTATCTTAATCCACTTACATTCATTTGTTTCTTATTGTATTTAACTTTTCTGTGTGGAACCTCATATTCCTGTATATTGGTGTAGAAATTGCAGGTTTTTCTTTTCAGAGTTGAGGAAGATCAAAGAAGCAGATTTTGGAAAGGGAAGTATAGGAAGAACATCAGTTACAAATGACTATTGCTGCCCAAGTAAGATATGGGTATTTCAGGACAGAGACTTGGACTATCTAGAAAAATTTAGGAGTAGATAGCATATAGATCTTAGTTGAAGTTGAATGACAAGATGAGATCACCTCAGGGAGTATAAATGGAGATAAGAATAGGTACAAGAACTGAGATTTTGAAATTCCAGTGTTTAGAGGTTGGGAGATGAAGAAGAACCAGCAAAGGAGACCAAGAAAGAGTAGCTCTTATATCAACTATACTTCAATAATAATAAAAACAAATGAGTATATTAACCAAAAAGAAAAGGAAGAGCAGCTTTTCTGGTAGAAAGAAAAACAAGAAATTCTGATATCTTAGATGTCAAATAAAGAGGAAGTTGCAAGGAGGAAGGAATAATCAACCCAACTCTGTTTATGTATCAAATGCTACTGTTTGCTCCAGTAGGATGGAAGACAAATATTTAATAACCTGAAGATCCATTTGTGACCTTGACACGAGGTGGTGGAATTGAAAACCTAATTGAGATTGGGTTTCAGAGAGAATGGGAAGAAAGTTGGAATTAGTAAAATACAACTTTCCCCCCCAAGTTTTGCTTTAAAAGGGTTCACAAAAATTCACTGTAGGAGATATTATTTGGAAGTTTGTATTGGTTAAATAAAACTTAAAAACATTTTTTAAAAAAAGATTTTATTTATTCATGAGAGACAGAGAGAGAGAGAGAGAGAGACAGAGACAGAGACAGAGACAGAGACAGACAGAGGCAGAACTAGGCTCCATGCAGGGAGCCCGATGTGGGACTTGATCCCAGGACTCCAGGATCACGCCCTGGGCCAAAAGCAGGTGCTAAACCACCGAGCCACCCAGGCGTCCCAACTCAAAAATTTTTAATGTCACATTTTTCTGATATGTCTTGTAAGGTTGAAAATTTTTATATGTTAATTGACCATTTGTATTTCCTTATCTATAAATTGCCTGTTCATGTACTTTGTCCATTTTGCTAAAGTATATATTATCTTTAATTAATCCATAGGAATTTTTTGTTTTGTTTTAAATATTCTCAAAGAGTCAGTTTCAGACAGATTGACAAACCATAGCCTATAGGCTCTGTTTCTGTCAATAAATTTTTTTTGCAATATAACGATGCTCATGTGTTTACATATTACATATTGTTTATCACTGCTTCCTGCTACATGGACAGAGTTAAGTAGTTGCATCAGAGACCATATGGTCGGTCCACAAGATTGAAAATATTTATTTTTTCAGTGGAAAAATGGAAAAAGTACATTTTTTCCACCTTTATTTTACGAAGTCTTATTTAAGATAATGATTATCATATAGGTATTAAACATCTGCTTTGTCTCAGCTCTTTCCCAAAGTTTTTAGGGTTACCAAAAATAAAAGATACATTACTTGCTCTTAGTGAGCTTACTATTGTCTAGTCTAGCTGAAAGGAAAGAATGCCACACGTAGAACTATATATGAAAATGGTCTAATTTGCAATAAATCTGTTCTCAGTACTATAGGAATTATAACAGAAACTATGAATGAGGACAGATTCTAAAAAAAGACAGTCTTAACCTACGTATTTGGATGAGTTTCAGGCATCTCTTGAAGTACTTGAGATTATGTAAAAGATGTCTATGTACATGGGCCTTTGATTATTATTCTGGGTTAAAGCAGATCCACTCTCAGATTTTTTTTTTTAATTTTTATTTTTTTTACGATAGTCACACAGAGACAGTGAGAGAGGCAGAGACACAGGCAGAGGGAGAAGCAGGCTCCATGCACCGGGAGCCCGACGTGGGATTCGATCCCGGGTGTCCAGGATTGCGCCCCGGGCCAAAGGCAGGCGCCAAACCGCTGCGCCACCCAGGGATCCCCCCACTCAGATTTTATAGAGGCTTTGTGAACAAAAAATTAGACATAGGGGCCTTGTTCCTTTCTGTAGAACCATTTTTCTTATCCTAAGTTCTTTCCACTAAATAAAACTCACGTATAAATTTTAATTCTGTCTATTTTAAAATTCCAATAACTGTTTTAAAGTGTTGAAAATCTAGCTATTTCTTCCAAGCATATCTGGAAAATGGGAATTGGGTGATACAAGGTTGTTGAGAAAATGGAAGAAGTTCAAGCTAAGTTTGATCTATTTATAAGAAGAGAGGGAGCTAACATACACATAAAAGAGACCAAATTGGCAGGCCGGTTGCTCTGCTGTGTTATGGCTGATCTGGCTTGTAGTTACTCTGATTGGAGCCATAACTAATTATGTTTTTGGAGTGGAGCAATAATTTTTCAAATAAAAAGCAACCCAGTAATTCTATGTCTCTGGATACTCTGGAGACTAGGAAGCTCAGGAGTCACCATCCTCAGTATTCCAATCAAGAGAATTTGGAAAACTATATAGAAAAAATTGCTTTATAATTTGTTTGGAATCCACAAGGAAGCAAAAGAAATTTTCATTTCATTGAAACTGGAGTTGGAGGGATGAGATCCTAAAATATTTCTAATGAGTATAGTTAAATGGAAAGTTAATTTTATAATATTTATTTTATTTATTTCCATTTATTTATTTTTAATACTTTATTTTAAATTTTAAAAATAGTTTTAGTAGGGGTGCCTGGCTTCTAGAGAAGAAATGCCATTTCAGAATCTTTGTATAATGTTATATTCCTTGTGATTATGTATTTAATTTTGGGTGCAGAATGTGATGAAACAGCATGCTTTATTGAAATCCCTGGGGAGCGAGCCAGTTGCAGTGGGGAAGCTGAACTTTTGTTATCTTTATAATAGCTTATCCATTTCTATTTTATGAACTATCTTACAACTATTAAAGTAACTTAGTGATTTAATGTGCCTGGTTAAAATGTTAGATGTTTTGAATTTGGCAGTACTTTGTAATTTTTTTTTTGAAATTATCACTATAGTATTGCAGTTTTAATAGTTCAATGTAATGGAATCTAAATGTTTTACAATAGATTTTAGTTATCTACTATTGATAGTAAATTACTAAGTAAGATTCTTTCTTTTAAAATTTATACTGTTAGTTTTTCCATGTTTAGAGCTTTTTATGAATTTGTAGGAGCATTTTTTAAAAAAGATTTTATTTACTTATTTGACAGAGAGCCAGAGAGCACAAGCTGGGAGAATGGCAGAGGGAGAGGGAGAAGCAGGCTCCTCACTGAGAAGGAAGTCCAATAACACAGGGCTTGATCCCAGAACACTGGGATCATGATCTGAATTGAAGGCAGACACTTAACTGCCTGAGCCACCCAGATGTCCCTGTAATGTCATTTGAAAGTGGACTTGGTCATTCATTTCTACCAATCCATGCCATGCTCCCTTTTTAGTCCTAAAATTTCATATTTTGAGACTGATTTTGTAGAAGTTTATTGACTGGATAGATAACAGTAAAATTATAAATTAGAATGAGCTGCTGTGAATTCTAATGGAAGTAAGATTTCCTTTTCCATTTTTTGTTATAGCAGAAGTAGAAACTAATGAAAAGGACAGCAAACCTGAGGAAGAAGAGCAAGTAATAAATGAAGATGAAAGACCTTCTGAGAAAAGTAAGCATGTACAAAAAACCTGAACTAGTTTAGAAAAATAGTAATTCATTGTTTCTTTTTTTTAAGGCTGTGGAATATATTTCCTTTCTATGAGATGATTTAAAAAGTTTGTGGTTTTAGTAAGCATAATTAAATCATTTTGTTGATTGCTAACCCAAGGATTTTTAAAAGTATTATTTCATATACTTTAGTATTTTATTTTTTTATATTTTCATTATTCTATAAGAAAGATGTTTAATATTTAATAAGGTACTACCTTAATGTATTGAGGTAGATTGTTTTAGATTTATGTTTAGAGCGTGAGACTATAAAAATTTTGTCGGGGGTGATAGAAGTCAATGACAATCCGTGTCTGTCTCCTTAAGTTTCCTAAGTTTCACAGGAAGGAGGACTTTTGGGACTGGGTGTCATTAGGTTTATAAGATTATCATTGGACTAGAAGTCAGTAAACCTAGGGTCTGTGTCTCCTTGTCATTCTGGTTTCCATGTCTGACTATATAAGTTATGATTGTAAGAGAAGTCCTAGAGTAGAACTGGATTTAAAAGTAGGCATATAGATACATGGATATAGAGAAAAGCGAAGAGGGATACTTACGGTCACATAAGGATGTTTCCCTTTAATAAGTAGAGATTTTAGTATTTTTACTTTTTATATATTGAAAAAAAACCATGAAATTTACTTATGATCTCATGAATGTTATCAGTATTTGAAATAAAAATTTTCTAAGTGAATTTCTTTGAATATCTTTACCAAATTTGCTTTTATAATGATAGAAATTTTATTATTTTGATTTACTTGGAATTCATTATGATATGTTAAAAATAACTAGCCTTGAGTGCCTGGGTGGCTCAGTTAAGTGTTTGACTTGTGATTTTGGCTCCAGTCAAATTCTGAGAGTCTTAATTTGAGGGTCCTGGGATTCAGCCCTGTGTTGGCTCCCTGCTCAGCAGGGAGTCGGCTTGAAATTCTCTTCTCTCCCTCTGCCCCTCCCCCTTTGCAAGTATATGAGTTTTTTTCTCTCTCAAGTAAATAATCTTCAAAAAGAAAAAAGAATAACTAGTCTTATGTTATTTTTCTAAGGGTAATAATTAAGAATTTTTTTTCTAAATTTACTGAGAAAAAAATGTATTGAAGAGGAAGAATTAAATAATTAAATCTTTGTACAGTTAGGAATCCATGACATGAGAATGAGTATTACATTTTATCAGAGGACTCATGTTCACTATTTAGCTAAGGGAATGAATATGAGATTATTTCTTCTAATCTCATATTGATATTTTAGGTGATTCTCCATCTTAATATACTTCCAAGGAAAGAATGTTTTATGTTTATGTTATACATTGCTTAGTCATGAGGGAGTTCTTGTGTAGCATATTGAAAATCATTTCAAGTTCAGAGTTTAAAAGTTACCTATCCACTTTTCTAATTTCAAAAATAATTCATAAAATAACTGATTGAAATAGTATTATGATAGAAATAATATTTTGTTGAGAACAGAAAAGAGGCATTAGGGTCTATAATGCAAACCTGACTAATCATTATACTTTTTGTTCTGAGGTGAATTTTCTAGAAGAAAACGTTCTAAATCAGAGGACATGGACAATGTACAGTCTAAGCGTCGTCGATACATGGAAGAAGAATATGAAGCAGAATTTCAAGTGAAGATTACAGCTAAAGGAGATATTAATCAGAAGCTACAAAAGGTATTACAGATTATAAGTTAAAAACCATATTAAATAAAAAGCATGACTGTTTTTATTCTTTTAGGTTTTTGACATTCTGTATTTTACTGACATATTTAGGTTTTTCACAGAACTTGAAGAAAGTGGTTGATCTTATTATTCTTAATTTAATTTTAAAAACTTTCTGAATCTTAAAGAGTTCATATTTTTTTCTTTTATATTGAACTTTATTTTTTTAAAAGATTTTATTTATTTATTCATGAGAGACACACAGAGACAGAGAGGCAGAGACACAGGCAGAGGGAGAAGAGGCTTCATGCAGAAAGCCTGACATGGGACTTGATTCCAGGTCTCCAGGATCACGCCCCAGGCCGAAGGCAGGCGCCAAACCTCTGAGCCACCCAGGGATCCCCTATATTGAACTTTAGTGGAAATATTAGAGTCTTATATTTTAACCTTCATAATCTTTTTTACTTAATCTTTATTATAAGCTGATTTCATGGTTGTAAGTTCCTACTTTGTAAATCTTTATGTTCTTTAGGCTCACTGTTAAAAAAAAGTAGAGACAGGGCTTTAGAATGACTAGGGAAAGGAAGAATTTAAAATACAGACTTTGAAAACATCTGCCTATATCTATTAGACTAGAGTTAGATAGAAATAAAAAAAAATATATATATATATTTTTTTTTTCCAGAATGTGTTAACAGGTGTTTATGACAAATGCTTTTTAAGAGGAATATGAAAGTTGAGTGAAATTAATTTTTTACAGTCTTACAGATTTAATGATAAAATTATAAATAACAGGTTTTAGACCAGTGTCCTTCTTCCACTAACATACAGTATACTCACATGAGAAAAAGGCAATTAATTTGTGAGGCAATAAAAAGGTGCTGTTTTTCTTTAAAAATTTGCTTTTAAAATTTGTCATGTGGAAGTAACAGTGCTTATTTAGTCCTTTTTTTTAAGATTTTAATTTTATTTATTTGTTATAGATCCATAAGATAATGTAAATTGTAAGGTATTTAAAAATATTTTATAGAAATTTCATAGTGTAGTGATATTCTTAATGTCTCACCAAAATATCTGCAACAGATTAGAAATTTTAAAAACTGGTCCTTTAACTGACCTCCTTTGAATCACAGTAGAAGGTGTTAGAAATAAATATCAAAACTTCAATTTAAAATTATTTATAAAATTTCTCCTTCTGGAAATTATAATCTCACCCTCTGGAAATAAAAAGACTTTATTTATTTATTTATTTATTTATTTATTTATTTATTTATTTATTTATTTATTTAACAGAGAATGAGAGAGTATAAGCAGGGGGAGCAGCAGGCAGAGGGCAAGGAAGAAGCAGGCTCCCTGCTGATCAGGGAACCTGATGGGGGCTTGATCCTAGGACCCTGGGATCAGGATCTGAGCCGTAAGGCAGACGCTTAACTGGTACTGAGCCACCCAGGTCCCTGGAAATTTTGTTTTTATGTAATTCTATCATAGTAGATATATATGTAGAAGTAGAGGCTTTCAGCAGATAACACTGTGTTCTGAATGCTGGCATGTTTTCACATTAAGCTAATCAATACATTAGTACTGTCTTATTAGTCCTTAAGAATGTTTACTGTTTACTGCTTGCTAAAATGTCTTCCCTGCTGTAAAAAAGAAAAATATTTCTCTTTAGGTTGTACAGTGGTTGCTGGAAGAAAAATTGTGTGCGCTACAGTGTGCTGTATTTGATAAGACTTTGGCGGAATTAAAAACACGAGTTGAAAAGATTGAATGTAACAAGAGGCATAAAACAGTTATTACTGAACTACAGGTTTGTATACTGATTTGAATTGTATACCCATGTGTCATTATTTTTATAACTTATTTTTGGAGGTACATTTTCAAAGTTAATAATAAATTACATTTAACTGCTAAATATTAGAAGTAAAAGGAGTCACCACTAGTTTGCTGGAACTGCCATAAAAACAGTACCATAAACTGGCTGCTTAAACAACAGAGAAGTACTGTCTCATAGTTCTGGATGCTAAAAGTCTAAGATCAAGGTGTTAGAAGGACTGGTTCTATTTGAAGGCTATAAGAAAGAATCTCTTCCGTGTGTCTCCTAGCTTCTGATGGTTTACTGATGGTTTTGGGCATTCCTTGCCTTATAGAAGCATCACCCTCATGACTGGTTGTCTTCATATGGCACTGTACTTGTGTTTGTGCCTAAATTTCCCCTTTATATGAGGATACGAGTTATATTGTATTGGGCCCACTCTACTCCAGTATAACCTCATCTTTACTAATTATCTTTGTAAAGACCCCTCTTCCAAATTGAGTAATATTTTGAGATACTTGGGATTCAAACTTCAATATATGAACTTTTCAGATATATGATTCAACCCGTAAGAGAGCCTTCGTCACTGAAGAAAGGCTGATATTTTTTAGCATAAGTTGCAAAAATATTTATTGTGATTATTTTTATATTAACCCTTTTTCTGCCATGGATCTTAGGTTGTATGAGTTTATATTTGTTAGTTTTCATTTTTTATTAAATATAACTCCACATATTCATATAGTGTCTGAACTTCTAAATAACTGAAATGAACATGATAACATGCTGTAGTAATTCATTTTATCCCAAGACTAAGAAACTGCAAGTTTTTCTCACTACATTCATACTGTCATAAGTAAATGTGTGGTTTCTATTAGGCTGTCTTAAATACAAACATAGTCTATAGATGCTGAGTTTGCAAACCACTTATAGAGCCTTGCTTTATATAGGAAGGAAAAGTGGTCCATGAAAACAAAGTCACTGTTTTCTGGTTATAAAATAAATTACAACCCAACGTGACTAGAATTTATGTATTATATTTCTTAGCCTAAAAGTTATTTTCTTGGTTTCATATTTTTAATTTTGTTTGAAGTGTGACTTTTTATTTTTTTATTTTTTTTTTGAAGTGTGACTTTTTAAATAAGATCTTTGTAGTAATTTTGTAATGTACCATTTAGGACATCACTAGTCATGTTTCTTACTTTTATTTTAGATCTAATAATGAAAGTGTTTAATTTTTAAACTTTATTTTACTCATCTGTTGAGAATTTTGAATTAGAATTTTAAAATGTTTGAAGACTTAAAAGTGATTTTGTTGTTTCTCATTTTGTGCTTTTAAGATCTGAGATTTTGACTTCCGTATTCGCATGTCACATGCAAGTCCAGATCTCGTAACACTCAATAAACTTTTCACTTTGATATTTCTTGGTAGTCTCAGAATCTGAATCCTTTAAATCCTAAACCAGTCTTTTCTCCACAAATAAATCCCCATGCCATTGTTCCTCTTACTTGTAATTCTTGAATTCTTAGAACAATCTTCAAGGAATATCTTCCCATTTTTCTTCTCATTGATAATTTTTGAGTTCTTGGAAATTGATTTCTCTCAATCATTTCACATACACAGTGGGATGCCAAATTAACTTTTTAAATTTCTTACTAAAGCCTATCTTTTGCTTGCTTTCACTTTTCACAAGGCCCAGGTCCACTTACGTGTGGATTTTTTCTGTAAAGATTAAGTATAGTACTGTAAATATATTTCCTTTTTCCAATTCCTTGATTATAGCAACAGCCTTTTGCATGATTACTCTGGTTCTACAGGCCTTGCTGGTCCTTCCCAACCATTGTGTTCACCTTTTTAAAACACTGTTTCATTCTTCTCCATATAGTCCAGATTCCTCAAATGTTATTTATTTTTGTATTTTTAATTTTTCTGGATCTCCTTTTTTGGATCCACTTTTCCTAATACCTACCAGTTGCTACACTACTCTACAGAATATCAATGTTCATAGTATTTTCATTTTAGGCTTTCAGTTTCATATTGTTTCTCCCATTACTTAGCTATAAGGATCTGCCCTTACTGTGCCATTTACTTAAATTTTACTGAGCTCAATTTAGTCCTCTCTTTTTGTGTTGTTCTAATATTTAGTATTTTATGGAAGTAAAATTCCGATAACAAAATAACCATTTGAGTTTACAATTCAGTGGCATTCAGTTCATTCAAATTGTTGTGTGATTGTCATCTCTATCTAGTATAAAACATTTTCATCAAGCCAAAAGAAAACCTTATGTTACTCCCTGTTTTTCTTTCCCCTAGTCCTTGGCAACCACTAATCGACTTTCTGTCTCTGCTGATTTACCTGATCTACACATTTCTTATGAACAGAGTCCTACAATATGTGACTTTTTGTGTCTGGCCTCTTTCTCTTAGCATAATGTTTTCAAGGTTCATATACAATGTAGCATGTATCAGTACTGCATTTCTTTTTATGGTTAAGTAGTATTTAATTATATCTGTATGCTTTTGAAAATATTTGTGTGCTATTGAAAATAAGTAGGTATTCAAGATGTTAAGTGTAATCTCCAGAGTAATCACTAAGGAAGAACTAAAATATATATAGCTGTGTAATATTATGGGTATGTATTATATAAATAGTTGACTCAAATAATACAGGGATTATGGTGCTGATCCCCTCCCCTGGTGTAGTTGAAAGCCTGTTTGTAACTCTTTCTCTCTTTTTGTTTTTTTTTTTAAGAGAAGTAGGAGAGATGCAGTAGCGGGGAGCTAGAGAGAATCTTAAGCAGGCTCCATGCTCAGGAGATCATCTCACAACCCTGAGATCATGACCTGAGCTGAAATCAAGGGTTGAATGTTTAACCTGCTGAGCCACCCACATGCCCTGTCCATGTATAACTTTTGACTCCTCCAAAACTCAGCTACTAATACCCAATTTTTAATGCATTCTTTATTGATGGGCATTTGAGTTGTTTCTAACTTTTAAGCATTGTGAATAGCACTGCTTTGATCATTTGTGTACAAGTAATTTTTGAAGACCAGTTTTCAAATCTTTCAGGCATATACATAGATGTGGGTGGCTTTGTGGGTCATGTGGTAATTTGTTTCACTTTTTCAAGAACTAACTAATCAGCTGTCTTCTGGAGTAGCTACATCATTTTACATTTCCAATAGCAATGTGTGAGGGTTCCTTGCTAACACTTGTTATTTTCTCTTTGTTACTGTTTTTATTATAATATTTGACTGAGTGTGAAGGTGGTATTTCATTGTGGTTTTGGATTGCATTTTCCTAATGATTATTAATGTTGAACATCTTTTCACGTGTCTGTAGAACATTTGTGTATCTTCTTTAGAGAAATATTTATTTGTCCTTTGCCCATTTTTTTCTAATGCTTTTATTTATTTATTTTGTATATATTTTTTTTTATTGGAGTTCGATTTGCCAACATATAGCATAACACCCAGTGCTCATTCCATCAAGTGCCCCCCTCAGTGCCCATCACCCAGTTACCCCAACCCCCCGCCCACCTCCCTTTCCACTACCACTTGTTCGTTTCCCAGAGTTAGGTGTTTCTCATGTTCTGTGACCCTCACTGATATTTCCCACTCATTTCTCTCCTTTCCCTTTTATTTCCTTTCACTATTTTTTATATTCCCCAAATGAATGAGACCATATAGTGTTTGTCCTTCTCCAATTGACTTATAATACCCTCCAGTTCCATCCATGTTGAAGCAAATGGTGGGTATTTGTCGTTTCTAATGGCTGAGTATATTCCATTGTATACATGCACTACATCTTCTTTATCCATTCATCTTTCGATGGACACCGAGCCTCCTTCCACACAGTTTGGCTCTTGTGAACATTGCTGCTATAAACATTCCTTTACCCATTTTTAATTTGGGTTTTTTGCCTCTTTGTTGTTGAGTTATAAGAATTCTTTACATATTTCAGGTATTGAACACAAAGATATATGATTTATAAATATGTTCTCCTATCTATAGTTTTCTTTTCACTTTATTGATCACGTAATGTACCTTAATGCATAAAAGTTTTAAATTTTGATGAAGCCTATAGACAGCATATAGTTGGATCATGGTTTATTATCCACTCCTGCTGAAGTCTGGCTTTGGATTGGAAGGTTTCATCTATTTACTTTTATTCAAAGTAGCTATTGATAAGGAAAGACTTCTGTTTTTTCTTCTAGTCTTTTTGTTTTTTTAATTCCTCATTACTGCCATCTTTTGTCATTGATATATATTTTTTTCCTCTAGTGTACCATTTTGTTTCCTTACATGTTTTCTTTTTGTGTATTTACTTAATTTTTTCCTTAGTGATTACTCTGGAGATTGCCCTTAACTGCCTTTTTTTTTTTTTAAAGATTTTATTTTTATTTATTCATGAGAGGCAGAGAGAGAGAGAGGAGAGGGAGAGGGAGAGGGAGGCAGAGACACAGGCAGAGGGAGAAGCAGGCTCCTTGCAGGGAGCCCGACATGGGACTCAGTCCTGGGTCGCTAGGATCAGGCCCTTGGCTGAAGGCGGCACTAAACTGCTGAGCCACCCGGTCTGACCTGCACTTAACTTCCTAAATTAATTTCACTAAGTATACAAAACTCTTTTTTCTCTACAGCTCGGTCTTGCTCATATTTGCTGTTAACTCTCACTGCTGGATTTTTTTTTTTTTTTTTTTTTTTTTTTGATACACCCAGCTGCAGGCGGCACTAAACCCCTGCGCCACCAGGGCTGCCCAAGAGGTCGGACATTTTAACTGACTGAGCCACCCAGGCACCCTACTGCTGAATTTTTTATTTCACTTAATATACTTTCTGCTCTAGAATTCTGTATGTTTTCTTTCTGGCTCTTTGATATTCTGTTTGGTGAGACATTGTTTTCCTGGTTTTCGTGTGTGTGTGTGTGTGTGTGTGTGTGTGTGTGTGTTTTAAGTTTAGCTCTTTGAACAGATCTTCAATTCATTTAAAGCCTTTGTCTAGTGAGTCTAATACCTGAACTGTCTTTCTTTTCATTATTTTTTCTGCCAATGGCCAATAGTTTGTTATTTCTTGTTTCTTTGTATGCCTCCTAATTTTTTGTTGTTGAAAATTGCATATTTTGAATTATTGTGATGTGGCAGTTCTGGGAATCAGGTTTTTCCCCCCATTACCCAGAGTTTGTTGTTTGTTGTTTTGATGACTTTTCTAGACTATTTTTGGTAAGTATAGATTCTTTGTTTTATGTGGGCACTGAAGTTTGTATTTCATTAGCTGAGTGTTCAGGTGATGTTCTGACAGTTACCTTAAATGCTTGGAGTAGAATAAAGAAAAAAGAAAGAAGAAAAAGAATGCTTTCCCAATCTTTGCAGATTTACTCCTTCGGTACAATTTACCCTATTCAACTTGCCTTATCCTCACTTCCTGCTTGCGTAAGTGAAAGTTTAGGGTCTTTTCAGGCCATTTTAGGCTTTTCTTTCCTGGGCATTTGCATAGTCTTCTTGATTTAAGAGCTTTTAGAATAGTTTTATGCCATGTGTCACCTTTACCAACCTTTTTTCCTCAGGCTTTTCTATCTATTGCTTATCCAAATTGTTGTCCTTTGCCCCAGGCTGCTCTGCCAATACCTTTGCCTTTAAATCTTTTTAGGAAGAGCTGTCTGAGATGCTGCTCCAGCCTTTTGAATTGGGTGAAACAAAGGCTGTCCTTTGTGCTTGGTCCATAAGGGAGTTGCCAGTGAAAATAAGGTCCATATGCTTCCTGTGGCACTAGAGCCTGAAGCTGGCATTCTGTTATCTTCACAGCTGCTGCTGCTCTGGGTGTGGGGAATAATGAATCCACAATCTAAAAGACAACACTGTTCTCTTACTGCAAAGTAGCAGCTTTATTTTCCCCCAAGTCTTTCCTTGGCTATTCTGAGTTTTTTGAAGTAGATCCCACTTCCACTCCACTGTTCTGAGATTTTGAGTAGATTCTAGAGTTGTGCAAAAATTGATTCTAACAATGCTTGTCAACTCGTTAGTTGCTTTTAGGAAGGGACTGAACCCTAAGGTAACCTACTCAGTCATTTTTGGTGATGCCGCTCTGTTCCAGTATTTTTATTATTATTACTTCTGAGTTCTCCAGTGTCTAAAGCTTATATATCACATACTCCACCAAGTAATTATATAGTTTGCTTAATTATTTACTGTTTCTTGGTTACACTTGACAACAAACGTTTTGAAAATCCAACTTTATATATATTCTGTATCATTCCACAGCAGTTGATGAGTACATCTTCCTGATTTGCATATATATATTCATTTATTATATTTGACTGACTTTGGCAAAATCTAGTTTGAGTTTTATAAAATTCAGAATTAAAACACATTTGAAAATAAACAAATTGGGTTTAGATATTTTGCTGTCAGGAATAATATAATTACTAGTTTTAGTATTAGTGTCCTTTTTTTTAAACACAGCATTTATTAAAAGAATACATTTTTAAGAGACTCATGATCCTTTTGCAATACTGTAAAAATTTACTATACATTGAAAAATTTGGTGAGAGTAGAATTGTGTTAAGTAGAATTAATTTAGAGGAAAGTTCAGAAGTTCTCTTTCCTGATAAAATTTTTAAAGTATAAATTTCTCTAGATACAGGAAAGTAGATTTTTATTGATTTTCATAGTTATTCTTTTTCAAAATGGGCTAGTTTGGAATTATTGAAAATAATTTTTAAGGTTTTAATAATTCTGATATGACTTTTATCCATATCCTTTTATTAAAGCCTATTTTAAATTATTGGCTCCTTTTATATGGACTAAACATATTTTACAAGAGCTGAAAATAATTTTCAGCATTGGAATATCTTCTATATTACTGTAGGGATTGGATTGGTTGCTTCCTGAATCATGAAAAAGTTTTGTGAATTTTTACTTTTTCAGAGATGTTAAATTGTTAAGTAAATCTCAACAGTTATTTCCATGATTTTATTTTTTAAGTAAAAGTTTGTATAATTTTTAGATTGTATATTTCTGATGCATTGTCAAGATGAGAATTATAGTAACTTCTAAGAAAGTCTTAAAATGCAGAAAGTTGTCATTTGCTGTGGAGTCAGTTGCAAATGTGTAATAAGAATCGAAGTTATCAACAAATATTTAGCTTTTCTACCCCTCTGAGACCGTAGCTCCCCTAAAACATATTTCTGGGTAATTTGAGACAGGAAGTAAAAATGGAAATTCTCCACTTTTTAGATAAAAAGTGTAATTAAAGTACTGCATATCAAAACTGTAAGTTAAAGCCACAGCAATATTCAAAGGGAAATTCACAAATTAATTAATTAATTAATTAAAAATCAATTAATTAATTTATGGAAATTTACAATTTAAAATTCATTAGTACTAAATAGGAAATTAGAAGAATATTATATGTTCATCTCCAGTACTAGGAAAAAACAATTATAAACTAAGCCCCCACAAGGAAGAAAGAGTTAAATAGCAAAAAGCCCAGCCCTTTTTGAATGTTGAGCAATGAGGATAAAACTTTATTTTTTCATGAAAATTTAAAAGTAGATTAATTTTTGAAATATAAATAATTAGTACAAATAAACTACATAAGGATTCAAAAAGGAGACAATGGTCCAGAGGAGATTTTTTAAGTAAGAGAACTTTATTATATATAACTTTATACCTATGAAGTCCATTTTATTTAGTAAGGAAGTAGAAAGCCGAAGTTATATGGAACTCTGTTCAAATTATAACTCATATCATAGTTAGTAGTTGTAGAAGTATTTACATTGAAATTGAGCCCAGGGCAAAGACGTCTATTATCTATGCTGCTATTTAGAGTTTTGTTGGCAGTCTGCACAATAAAATAATGACAAGAGAAAGAAATTAAGAGTCATGATGGGAATGCAATAGAATTTACTTGGCAAACTGATAAAAGATTTAGAAACTACCTGATTGAAGAAAAACGTTACAGTAGGTTTTCTATACATCAACAAAGAACAATGAGAACATTTGAGAAAAAGGTTTCATATATGGTAGATATTTAAAATGAATAAGTAGTTAAGAATAAACCAAAAAGAAAATTTCAACACCATAAGACAGAAAAAGAAAATTTGAGTTAATAGTAATGTACTATGTTCCTAGATAGGAAGACTAGATTCCTCTTAAATTATTGTACAGATTCAGAATACTCAAAATTTTGGGTGGACTTTTTTTTTTTATGGAAGTGGGAAAGCTTTTAGCATACCCTGGGATACAATATTTCATTGGTTATGATTTATAAAATGCTATTTTAAATAGTTTTAGCTGAAAATAACTTTTTGAACCCCTGCCCCCTCCCTGCAATAAGTAAATCTGTAGCTGCTGAATTCAAGAAACAGTTTTGAGTAATGGATATATGTGTCCATTTGTTCGTTAGCTTTTTTTGAGTTGATGATTAACTTTTTTTTGATGATTAACTTTTTTTCTCAGGTGATTATTTCCTAAGAAGTTCCTTGGTATGTAAAGCAAGGAAATCCCTAGTTTGCCTAGTTGGCTGAAATAAGGCTCTTTGTGGGTTTCTTGTAATATATGCATGAGTTCCTTTTTAGTACCATGATATTACTTGATTTCTATTTCATTTTTGCTTTTTCTTTTTAGGCCAAGATAGCCAGGTTAACCAAACGCTTTGGAGCAGCCAAAGAAGATCTTAAGAAAAGACAAGAAGTAAGAATTTCTATTTTTGCCTAATTAATAATTAGCTCTAAGTGGTAATCTTAGGAAATGGTGAAAGTCTTAGGAAAGTCTTTATTATAGGTCTGAAATTTGCTTTCATACTGTGCATTTCCTGTATGTTCTTTCTGGAGCTATAGCTCTAGCACTTTAACTCTTTTCTAATCCTGAGTTACTGTTTTCATATATCAACACTTACATTAATCTATTTTTGGCATTCTAGAAGTTAAATTTTCATTTCATTTTTAAAATTATCTTTTTGGGATCCGTCTTACCATATTTTTTTCTTTTTACATTCTTGCTAGCGTCCTAGTCTAGTCTCTTATTTCCTCCGAAGTATGTTAGTGTTCCATTACCTGGAGTAGTCCTCTTCTCTTCTTTCTTCCTCCACACAGTTAGGTCCAAACATCATGGCATAACATAAACTCCAATATATAGTCTACCTTTAGCTTTTGGTTATTTCCTCAGTTATTCTGTAATACATATCTTTAATATATTGCTAATGTATTGCATTATAGTTTTTAGTTTAATTTCTTTCTTTTCCTCTGGACTTTTTTTTCTCTTTGGGCAAATTACATTTCTTTATGTTAAGAGCTCCATTGCCTGGCACTTACTAATTGCCAATAACAATTATTTCAGTAGTAATCCTTATTACTGTAGGATTTTTCTGTCTTCATTCATTTTGACATCTTCTTTACTTAACTTTAAAGTTATTTTGAAATAATTATAGATGTACAGAAAGTTGCAACAGTAGTACATATACTCCTGTGAACTTTTCACCTAACTTCCCCCAGTAGTGAAATCTTACATAACTGCAGTATAATATCAAAACCAAAATATTGATAACAATTCTATTAAGTAGTCTATGGACCTTATCATTTCTCACCAGTTTTTACATGGATTCATGATGTGTGTGTGTGTGCGCGCGCACACACATGCATGCATAATTCTGTGCAATTTTATCATATATATAGGTTTATGTAATCTTTACCACAGTCAAGATCTACAACTGTTCCATATTATAGTCCCTGAAAGGTTTGTCATGGAGAGCTCTAAGTATTATGGAAACAACAAGTACTGTATAATTCCTAAAGATTAGAAATATTAATTTGAATAATTAGGGTGTGTGATGCTTGAAGAAGAGTATTGAGGTGGTCTTCAGTCTTTCAAATTCTTTTCCTTTCTTAATTAGCTTTTGAGTAAGGCCAGTTTTACATGGCCAAAGTGGAACATCTATCTACTCATTCTTGTTAATATTTTCTTTTTATGAGAGACATTTCTAGAAATCTCAAGAATTTGTTCTTTCCTGTCCTAATTCTCTTTAATTATGGTATCCATTATAATTTTACATCTGTGTCATGCTTGGTTTTAAAAACAGAGATAAGAATGAAAATTTAAAACTTTAGTTCTCTCCCATATTAAAATAAGTAAAGAAACAATAGTACTTTAAGTGCTTTTCTTCTATTTAGATTTGCTCTTTGGTCCTGTCTTATTAACCAGTTAAAAACAAACCCCACCATGCAGGTTTGTATTGAAATATATTCTATTTTAATTTTTAAAAGAGCAGAAAATCCTCAACGCAGTTTGCTATTAAGTCCACATTTATAATCTAATCTGTTACTGTCTTATGACTGATATCTCTAACTTATATGCTTTTTAGTTCTTACTATAAAAGAAATGTAAAGGGATCCCTGGGTGGCTCAGCAGTTTGGCACCTGCGTTTGGCCCGGGGCATGGTCCTGGGGTCCTGGGATCAAGTTCTGCGTCAGGCTCCCTGCATGGAGCCTGTTTCTCCCTTTGCCGTGTCTCTGCCCCCCACGCTCTCTCTCTGTCTTTCATGTGTCTTTCATGAATGAATGAATGAATGAATGAATGAATGAATAATAAATAAATAAATAAATAAAATCTTAAAAAAAGTAGAGATATTCTCATCTTTTATGAAAAATCAATGATGTAATTGATTACATTTTTAAATTAAATCTAAATTCTATATTTTAATTTTTTACTGAATTTTAAAAATTGTTTTAATTGTGCTATAAACACATAACCTAAAATGTATCATTTTTAACTTCACAGTTCAGAAGTATTAACTATATTAATATTGTGTAAAGATCTTTAGATATTTTTCATCTTGCAAAATTGAAACTCCATACTATAGAATATCTCCCATTTCCTTTCCCCTCAGCACTTGATACTTTTTGTTTCCATGATTTGACTACTCTAGATGTCTCATAAGTGAAATCATATAATATTTGGGGTTTATTTGTTTGTGTTTTGGTTTGTTTTTTGGTGAGTGTTTCATCTGTATAATAGCATGTAATAAGATTTCCTTTTTAAAGGCTGAATAATACTCCACTTTATGTATATAATATATACCACATTTTCTTTATTCATGCATTTAATGATGGATATTTGGGCTGCTCTCATCTCCTGGCTTTTGTGAATAATGCTACAGTGAACATTTGTGTGCAGGTAACTCTTTGAGATCCTAGTTTCAAATCTTTTGAAAATCTACCCAAAAGTGAAATTGCTGGATCATGTGGTAATTCTGGTTTTAGTTTTTTGAGGAGCTTCCATACTGTTTTCCAAAGAGGTCACACCATTTTACATTCTTACTAACAAGACACAGGGTTCCAATTTCTCCACATTCTTGCTGACGGTTATTTTCTGTTTTGTAATAGTGGCCCTGCTAATGGATGTGAAGTGGCATTTCATTTGAGTTTTGATTTGAATTTCTCTAATGATTAGTGATGAGCATCTTTTCAGATTCTTGTTGGGCATTTTGCATATCTTTGGTCAAGTGTCTGTTTAGGTCCTTTGGCCCCACCTATTTTTAAAAAGATTTTATTTATTTATTAATGAGAGACACAGAGGCAGAGACATAGGCAGAGGGAGAAGCAGGCTCCCTATGGGGAGCCTCATGTGGGACTCAGGAAGCCTGATGTGGGACTGGATACCAGGACCCCAGGATCACAACCTGAGCCAAAGGCAGATGCTCAACTGCTGAGCCACCCAGGTGCCCTGGTCCTTTGCCCATTTTTAAATCAGGTTACTTGTTTTTAATTGTTAAGTTGTAGGACTTCTTTATATATTCTGGATGGATATTAACCCCTTACCAGGTACATGATTTGCAGTTAATTTCTCCTGTTCATTGGTTTCCTTTTCACTCTGTTCATTGTTTCCTTTGATGTGTAGAAGCTTCTAAGTTTGTTGTAACTTCCTTTGTTTTGCTTTAATAGCCTGTGCTTTTGATGTCATATCCAAGAAATCATTGCAAAATTCAACACCATGAAATGTTTCCCCTATATTTTCTTGGAATTTTTAGTTTTGGTCGTATATTTAGGCTTTTGATTTATTTTGAATTAATTTTTGTGTATGGTATAATGATCCAGCTTCATTCTCTTGTGTTTGGATATCTAGTTTTCATACCTTTAGTTGAAAGACTGTCTTTTCCTCATTGTGTAACCTTGACATCCTTGTTGAAGACCAGTTGACCATGTAAGTGAGAGTTTATTCCTGGGATATATATTTTGTTCTGGTGTACCTGTCTTTATGCCAGCACCACTGTGTTTTGATTACTGTAGCTTTGTAACATGTTTTGAAATCAGTAAGTATGAAGCCTCCAACTTTGTTCTTCTGTTCCAGGATTGTTTTGGCAATTCAAATCCCTGGAGATTCCATACGGATTTTAGAATGCTTTTTTTCTATTTCTGCAAAAAATGATGTTGGATTTTGATAGAGATTACATGGAAACTTTTAATCACTTTGGATAGTATGGACATTTGAACAATGGTCAAGTCCATGAACATGGGATATCTCCATTTATTTGTATTTTTTATTTCATTCCACAGTGTTTGTAGTTTTCATTTTAAAGGTCTTTTGCCTTCTTGGTTAAGTTTACTACTAAATATTTTATTCTCTTTCATGATATGTTATTTTCTTAATTTCTTTCTCAGATTTTTCATTGTAAATATATAGAAATAGATTTTTTGCTCAACTATAATTTCTTATAACTTAATTATGTAACTTAACAATAATAGTTATTATGTAATTTTAACAATTGTATAGCACATAGTTTAATATTTATTACTATTATTATTCCTATTATTATCCTGCACCATTACTGAATTCATTTGAACTTTATTTAATGGATTCGTTAGTGTTTTCTGCTATAAGATCATGTAATCTGAAGCAAAGAAAACTTCACTTCTTCCTTTCTAGTATGGTTGCCTTTTATATTTTTTTCTTGTTTAACTGCTCTGGTGAGATCTTTCCAATATCATGTTGAATAGAAGTTGGTGAGCATGGGCAACCTGCCCTTGTTCTTGATCTTAGGAGGGAGAGCTTTAATTGATTCACTGTTGAGTATGATGTTAGCTACGGACTTTTGACATACAGTCTTTTGATATTGGAGTAGTCTCCTTCCATTCCTAATTTGTTGAATGTTTTTATTTTATGATGAAAGGGTGTTGAATTATATGAAATGCTTTTTCTACAACAGTTGAGAAGATCATGTAGTTTTTTCCCCTTCATTTTGTTAATGTGGTGTTCAGTTTATTGATTTATACATTGATTGATTTTTCATGTCAATCTCTCCTTGCATTCCAGTGATAAATCTTAACCTGGTCATGTTAATATGCTGGTGAATTTGGTTTGCTAGTATTTTGTTGAGGATTTTTACATCTGTGTTCATCAGGGATATTAGGCTATAGTTTTTTTTTTTTTTATTGTGGTGTCTGGTTTTGGTATCTGGCTATAGTGGCTTCATAAAATTGGTTTGGAAGTTTTCTCATCAGTTCTTTGGAAGACTGCTGTTAATTCTTTAAGTGTCTGGTAGAATTCTGCACTGAAGTCATCTGGTGCTTGATGTTTTTTGTTATTAGAATGTTTTTGATTACTGATTCAGTCTCACTACTTGTATAGATCTTGTTCAAAATTTTAATTTCTTTTTGATTGAGTCTTGGTTGTGTATTTCCAGAAAGCTGCCAGTTTCTTCTAGGTTACCCAATTTGTTGCCGTATAATTGTTCATCGTAGTTTTTTGTAATCCTTTTTTATTCTGTGGATCAGTTGTTCCCTTGTCTTTCATTTATGATTTTATTTATTTATGTCTTCTTTCTTTTTTTCATAGGTAATGTAGGTAAAGTTTTGCCAATTTGTTGATACTTTAAAATGCCAACTCTTAGTTGATTTTTTTTCCTATTGACTTTGTGTTCTCTGTTTTGTTTATTTCTGCTATAATCTTTATCATTTCCTTCCTTCTCCTGAGTTTAGTTTGTTTTTCTTTTTCTAGTTTTTTGAAGTATTAAGTTAGGTTGTTGATTTGAGATCTTGCTTCCTTTTTGGTGGAAATGTTTACCACTATCAGTTTTCCTCTTAGTACTACATTTGCTGCATAAATTGTTCCATAAATTTGGTATGTTGTATTTTTGTCTTAAGATATTTTCTAATACTTCTTATGATTTCTTCTTTAATTCATTAGATTTTTAAGTGTGTTTTAATTTCTACATATTTGTGACTTTTCCATTTTTCATTCTGCTATAGTTTTCTTTTGTTCCATTGTGGTTAGAAAAGATATTTGATATGATTTTCATCTTTATAAATTTGGTAAGGTCATTTTATGACCTAATATATGATCTGTACTAGAGAATGTTGTGTGTGCACTTGAGAAAAATTTGTGTTTTTCAACTGTTGGGTGAAAATTTCTGCAAATGTCTGGTCCATTTGGTCTTTGGTATTGGTTCAGTTTTGCTATTTCCTTATTGAATCTTTCTCTGGATCATCTACCCATTATATAAAATGATATACTAAAGATTCCTACTATTATTGTGTTGCTGTTTCCTTTTCAATTCTGTCAATGTATATATCATTTGGAGGTTTTGATGTTATGTGCACAAATGTGTATAAATATTATATTTGGTCAACTGATGCTTTTACCGTTATATAATGTCCTTTTTGTCTCTTGTGACAATTTCTTACTTCAGCTCTCTTTTGTATTATGTAAGATATTATATGTGTATAATTTCTTATCTGAAGAGTCTTGACTCTTTCTACTCAGAAGCTCTCCACTGACTTCGGTCTTCTATATTACAGTTTTGGTTTTGTAAGGCATAATTTTGGACATCTCTCTACTGTCTGTGCTAGTGTGATTTTTCTGATGTTGTACCAAACTAATAGGCTCACTTTATTTCTCATGTAGCCCCCAATCATCCAACATATGCCTCTTCCTCCAAGTCAGGTAGAACAGAAACCAGTGCCTTGGACAGTCTACTAAAAAGCAAGAGTATTGCATGAAAGTTTCATTCTTCTCTCCTTTTTAAAGGAGAAGCCACAGTGAGGAATTTTGATTGTGCTGCACTGTATCTGGGGGGTTTGGGGTTTGATGGGTAAATGAAACAGACTTTTCTGCACACTACAATGCACCTTTTCTTTGCCTTGCTATTTCTTGGGGGTCCTATAACCTCTTAGACTAGCTTCTTGAATTCTGACAAAGGAAATTTGGTCTATCCCATGTGGAAAGTGGTGTTGGTCTTCCTATTCTGCCATCTGCTGATGTCACTACAGTGTAGAACTTAAGGTCTTCCATCCAATGACCACACAGTATCCTAAGTCTGTTGTATTTAGTTTATTTATTGCTTTTTAACTCCTTTTTCTATTTTTCTCTCTGAAATGTTCTTTATCTTCATCTTAACTGTTTTGGATGTAATGATTATTCAAAGACCTATTTGAAGATGCATTTTCCTCAAAAACTTTTTTTTTTAAACTTTTTCCATTGGTACTACACTGTTAACTTTAATTTGCTTTTCTATTTGTTTAATATGTTTTTGTCCACAGGAAGATTTTAAGCACCTGTAGAGCAATTCATTGTAATTTTATCTCTTATTTTCTCTACACATATAACTATAATGCTATAGCTGCTGGTTAAAATTATTCTTTTATCCTATAAAAAGCATCAGGATTTGTTGATTGAAAAGAATAATTAGTGGAATCTGCTGATATGATCAACACTTATCACATTTGTTTTAATATTTATTGTTATTACACTTAATCAAGTCTTGAGCAGTTATTTATATTTCTTAATTTAAGAAATATATGATGATAGTGTAATTACTGATGGAGGCCCAAGTAATGGTAATTAATGTGTATAAGAATTCCATTTCTATATTCCTTGTGTTTTGGAGGAAAAGGCTGAAATTAGTTGATACTTAAGTTTAGTATTGAGATATCTTTTTATGAAGTTATAACACATAGTGGCAAGTAGTTTTTATAATAGTTGTAAAAATTATTTTAATTTGAGAAATTTGATTTATGACCCTAGGCACCACTTAATTGGTAATCAACTGTTTCTGGGTAAGAATAAATATGTACTTTGTTGAGTTTCTTTTGGTAATTTGGTGTCAGTAATGCGTAGTATGTAGGAGGCATTCACTAGATATTGAATGACTATGTCTAGTTATTCTTTAGATTCAAATTATTAATATTTACTGAACCCTTACAGCATGTGAACCATTTTCACATTCTTTATTTGCTTATCTTAAAAAACGAGGCGTAGGAATTATTATATTAATCTTTCATACAATAAGCAGTTGTTTCAGTGGATTAAGTAATTTAAGTGGCAATGCCAAGATTCAAATTCTTGTCTCATCTAGTAATATTTTCTGGAAGTAACAGATAATATATTGAGAAAGCATATAAGGTTTTTTTTTTTAATATTGTATTGGTTTCAGGTGCACAACATAGTAATTCAACATTCATATATGTTATGAAATCACAATAAGTCAAGTTAAGATCTTATTCTTAAAGATTCCTGGTGTATTGGGTTTTATTTTACCTGGGTATTTTTCTTCCCCAGAATCCACCAAACCCACCAGTATCACCAGGAAAGTCTGTAGTTGACATCAACAGCAATAATAACAATGTGCCGTACAGGTGAGAATTGTAAACAGTCTGTCAAATTTATAATTATAGGAAAATTTTAGAATGTATTCTTATTTATTTTTGTAGAGATATGTATTTGGAGTATACTGGATTTAGATTTTCTCCTTTTTTGTTATATTGTTCATTTGTTGTTACTGGCTTTGCTAATTTATTATAAGGCTTTCTTTGGTCGTTGAAGATTTCTTTAACCACTTATACTAAATAGTATTCTTTCATAGTAATTGAGAAATGCTTTGATCAAGGGTGATAAAAACTAATGTCTGCGGATGTACACAAAAGTAAAAGTGTTGAGAACATTAGAATATAAGAGACAGACTCTTCCTTAATTCCATAGACCCCAGCATGCTGAAATCTATGTGCTGTCTTTACCTTTGTATTCATTGGCACTTTTATGCCACCATACTCAAGTCTTGCCAGTCTTTTCCCTATCAGCCACTGCTTTGAGTATTCATAAATTGAGGTGCTCCTGAATGGCATTTTCATGACTATTTGTGTGTATATATGTTGTAGAAATGCAGGCACAGTGAGACAGATGCTGGAGTCCAAAAGGAATGTAAGTGAGAGTGCACCACCATCCTTTCCAACCCCTGTGAATACAGGTAATATTTTTTAATACAAAAATGACATTTTCTTAGTAATTGAAGGTTTTGGTTGTCTTTTCTTACATCTTTTTGAGATTGATATGCTCTAAGGAAATGAGCGTATTTATCTAAAATTAAATAATTACAAAATTTTATCAAAAAACCAGGAATACAGATATACATGAAAATACAGAAATTCAAATCTCTAGTGTTTCTCAAATTTTCTAATTTCTGTATCCCTGTGTAATCTTAAAATAATATAAAGAATCCCAAAGAGCTTTTGTTTTTGTGGCTTATGTTGATATTTACTGTAGTAGAAATTAAAACAAGTTTTTAAATGTTTACTTAAAAATAACAGACCTGTATCATGTAACACAAATAACCTATTTGAATGAAAAATAACTTTTTCAAGCTTAAAACAATTAGAAGAGTTATTTAGGTAGTGAGCGGTACTACCTTGAGTAGTAGTGAGCTACCTTGAGTTTTGTACTGAGGCATCAGAAGTTTTACCATCAGTGCAAATATTTACATGTTGAGAAAAATCAAGTAATATCTTATTATTTTTATGAAATAATTTTGACATTGCCACCTCCCTGAAAGGGTCACAGTAATCCCAGGTGTCCCCCTGGATAACACTGAAGATTGCTGTTCTAGTGTGCCTATGATTTTGGAAAGAGGACAGAACAATAAGAAAGAAATTTGGTCATCAATTTGAAACCTGTTCAAATGAGAATAAACAAATAGTGGAACCAAAATTACTTTAAAACTTCCAGGGCAGCCTGGGTGGCTCAGTGGTTTAGCGATGCATTCAGCCCAGGGCGTGAACCTGGTGACCCGGGATGAGTCCCACATCAGGCTCCCTGCATGGAGCTTGCTTCTCCCTCTGCTTGTGTCTCTGCCTCTCTCTCTCTCTTTTTCTTTCTTTCTCTCTCTCTCTACCCCCCCCCCCCGTGTCTCTCACAAATAAATAAAAAAAATCTAAAACAAACCCCCCCCCCAAAAAAAAAAAAAATTTCTAGTGGCTAGCATTTTTGTTTCTCTGGTGTTTGGTTTCAATTCCCTTATTTCTTAATTCATCACCCCTCTTTACCCAAATCATATAATGTCACTAGAGTGTCAGTAGAAGCAGCTTCTCCATACCAGCTCCTGTCAGGTAATTTAGTAAAACTTGATTCACAGAGGGTTCACACATGGTTCAAGTGATAAAAATACCACATCCAAGCTTACTTCATTCATTAATAGTGATGACTCTTGCTAGATTGTCTGTTTGAGTTTATATTTTGTCAGTGTCCTAAGGCATTCGTGTTTTTAGGGTAGTTTCAAAAATGTTTGTACAGTTTTACCAAGTTTTCAGTCATTTTTCCAGTTAATCTGAAGTGATGATAGTAATTTTCAGATACTGTTTTGACACTGAGATAGTAGCTTCCATAATAATCATAAGCCATGTGCCAAACATAGGTGCAAAAATACTTATATCAATTTAATTTCAGGAATTTCCAAAACTTAAATCTGGAAGAAATTTTATTATGAAAGATTTGGTTATATCTACTGTAGTAGATATAGTCATTAAATTTTATCTTGTTGAATTATGCTTGCTGATAAATGAAGACAGCCATTTAAACTGATACTTCTTTTTTCTTTTTGTAGTTTCTTCAACCAGTCTTGTCACTCCTCCAACTGTTGTCAGTAGTCAACCTAAATTGCAGACTCCAGTGACTTCTGGTTCTTTGACAGCAACATCAGTTCTTCCTGCACCCAACACAGCTACAGTAGTTGCTACTACTCAGGTGCCTAGTGGAAATCCCCAACCTACAATCTCTTTACAACCTTTACCAGTGATTTTGCACGTACCTGTTGCGGTATCCTCCCAGCCTCAACTCCTACAGAGTCATCCAGGGACTTTAGTGACTAATCAACCATCTGGCAACGTTGAGTTCATTTCTGTACAAAGCCCACCTACAGTGAGTGGTCTTACCAAAAATCCGGTATCCTTGCCAGCCTTGCCAAACCCCACTAAACCAAACAATGTTCCTTCCGTGGCCAGTCCCAGTATTCAAAGGAACTCTCCTGCCAGTGCTGCACCATTAGGGACAACGCTTGCTGTACAGGCTGTTCCAACAGCACACTCTATTGTACAAGCCACAAGGACTTCTTTACCTACAGTAGGCCCATCAGGACTCTATAGTCCATCAAATAATCGAGGTCCCATACAGATGAAAATTCCAATTTCTGCTTTTAGTACTTCATCTCCTGCAGAACAGAGCACTACTACCCCAAGAATTGGTAAGTCACTGTGTAGGCTTAAGAATAGAAATGCAGGCATGTTAATGGCCTATTGTAGATAATTGAACATTTGTGTGTATTTGTGGAAGTGGCTATCTTTATTTGAAGAAGAAAGTAAGTAGAATATCCTAGAAATTAGTTTTAGTATATTTTTAGTTACCTAAGAAATAATATGATGATATTTGAAAATTTATTTTGAATGAAAAGTTAGAATTTTAATTTAGCTTTTAGTAATTTTTCATAATCTAGGTGAAATTTTTCATTCAGGCTTTCAGGCAAACATTGTGAATTACTCTTATAATATGTTTGGCAGAAGTATCTGAATAGAACACATTTATTTTAAAGTATATAATTTACATAATATATGCTTACATGGGCAAATGACCAACCACATATCTTCCCTACCATTTGTTAAAATCCTTTGTGCATTCATCACTCACATCTTACAAATTTGAACAATTTAAAAATAGGTTCTTCCCTCTCTAATTTCCTATAAAGTGATTGCTTTTTGTTTTCTCTATAAAAGAAAAATATAAAATATTTCCCCGTGACATATTACATGATTTATGTTTGCATATGTCTGTATATTTTCCAGTATTGCAAAAAGGAGAAATTGATTGTACCTGTATTTAAAATCTGTAAAATTCTGTCTTCCTTGTTCTTAAGCATACATTTTGTATGCATTCTTGAATTGTTTTATTCTTCATTTCTGGCTTCACACTTAACTCCCAATTGAAAGATTGGCAAAAATGTGTAATGTGTAGTAGTGAAATTGCTGCTAGTATCTCTTTTACTGACATAGTAACTATGAAATATAAGAAACATTCAAATAAGAAACATTCTAAAGTACAAAATTTGATAACTGAGATATACAAGCATTTTGGTGTTTTAAATTTCTCATGTAGGCATTAGTATACTTGCCCTCTGAGTATATTTTCTTATATAAAACAGTGATTATAGTATTTCATAAGGTTTTTGATAGTAAATGAGTGGATGATCAAAATTAGACAGGAGCTAAATATTAACCTCATACAAATTTACATCTGGGATATAAGAGGAAATCTGAAATTTTATATAAAAATGAAATTATTAATATTTAAAATGTAAATACTTGCATGGTACAACAACAATATTTGTTAGTCCTATCTGCTACCACATTACTCTATAGTAGACACTCCTATTCATGTTTGCAGCAGTGAAGATGGTTACTTTTAACCGAGGTCAATGAATGAGCAAGATTTTGGGGGGTTACTTCATTTTTATCTAATTTCTTTTTCTTTTAATCCTTAGTATTTTTTAATATGTCAGGTAGAAATTGATTTCTCATAGACATGTGATTTTGGAGTTTTTTATCCTTATGTAATAATATTGAGTCTAAGTTGAAACAATTTTTAATTCATGGTCACAAGATAAGATATATCCTTAAGCATAAAACTTGGCCTGAAAGACCATGGCTTGAAAAGAAATAAATAACTTAAAAGATTTTGCTAAGTTTTGTGAATCCTCATACCCTAAACACTTCTATGGATATCAGAGTTATATATCAATTATTCTGTTTTCTTAAAATTTTTTTGACCATTTGTTGACACAGAGGGTATATTTTCCCTCCAAATTAATGAGCTCTAATGTACTCTATTAGTCATAGTGTCAGTCTGTTTTGTTATTTATCTGACTGTTCTTAATTGTTTTGTATGTAAAACTAATAGTTTTCACAATCATTCTTCATCTGTATAGCATTATACTTTTGCGATGATATATACTTAAACTTTTGTATTTTACCATATATTTACTTAACATATTTTATGTACTCTATTGTATAAATTAAGGAGATCTATATTTCAAGTTCTATTTAGATTGCTTACTTATATTTGAAAGTAAATTATTGGATACTAACCATAAATGTGACTGATAAACTTTTTTGTATATTGTTCATCATGTTAATTAGAATGAGATCTGATGAAATGATGTATTCTGTACTCATGCATAATTTTAGAGGAACCATAAATGACATTAAAGTAGGCATTTAGCTATTTAGGCTTCCCAAAACCTAAGCTGAAGCCATATGGCAAATTTTGGCTGAAAATGAAGATTAAAGCCAACTGTTAATACATTCATAATATGATATATCAATTAGTTGTATAATTAAAACTTTTTAAGTCTTATACTTAATGTAGATATTATTGACTTAACGAGAACATAGCCTAACTAACTAGAATGCATGTGTTTTGTATGTATTTTTTTTTATAGTTCATGTGTCCTCATACAGTAAGTCAGCATTTTCTGTTTATAATAAAAGTAAGAATCCTTCTAGAGACTGCTAGGAGATTTAGGGCTTAAATTATAATTAATTTTATTCATTTATAGGGTGGAATTAAGACACTAGAGGAGTAGAGAGACCCTAAGTTTGCCTCATCTCTCAAGTGCATTAGTAGTATCATACAGCTGGGTAAATATCAAATAATTTTAAACACCTAAGAAATCAGTTTGAGGTCTGAGAGCAAGCTACGCAACTAGGGTAGAGAAACAGCTACATCTCGGAACCACGTAGAAGCTGCAGAGAGTTGATTTGTTTGAGAAAAGAACTGCAGGAGGAGAGGGACCCCTGATTACAGAGAAAGGAGAGAGGAGGAGAGAGAAAGAGAGGAGAAAAGTAGTGCACAGCAGATTGCACAAGAGAAACTTTTCCCCAAAACCATCGATTGGGTAAAGGAGAGGGACTGATTACTGCAAGTTACTATAGGCGGTGGATTGCAAAGTCTGAAGTTTTAAAAGGCCTTGCCATCACCATGGTTTTGCCTGGCAGGCTTAGTCGTATCCCTGTGGGGAAAGAGGACAGAGAAACCTGGGAGTGGGCAGTGTGGTCTGAGGATCCCCTGGAGAAAGGAGAAACCGTTCTCTTTTTAGAGTGCATTTGGTAGTGGGTGGCGTGGCCTCTCTGGGACAAAAGAACTGGTGGCACTAATGTGCTGCGTTGTTCCCTAGCAAGGAATAAAAGACAGTGGCTGAAAGAAGCAGACCTTGGTGCTGGCTTTTTGCCTCATTTTACCATAAACTCTGAATTGCTGCCCTGTCATGCAACTGCTTTTCTGGAATGAAACAGCAAAAGTGTGGTGAGACCCTCCCCCAGAGGATCAGCCTGGGTCCCTAAAACTTGGAGTTTTGAAACCCAGCTGCATGCCTGCGACGAAATACAGGAGTGCTGTGCTGCCTGGCAGGCATACAGCTCGAACACAGGATGAAGGCAAGGATCTGATAGAGAACCGGGGAGGCAAGAAGGGTGATTGTTTGCTCTCTGTGAGGGCTTCCTGAAGAGTGGCAGGGGTGAACTCCCCCACCCCGTCCCCCCCCCCCCCTTCCCTACTCCAGGTCCAGGAGAACAGTGATGCCATTCCTATCCCCTTTCAGTCCTGACTGACTAGAGTGAGCAAATCAGCACCACCCATTGGAGACCAGAGCTGCTTACCCCAAGCCCCGCCTTATGCACCCTGTAGGTGTTCATAGAGTGCTTTAAAGCTTCAGCTCTAGGGGAAATAGGATCTGGCTTTTTTGCGGGGAAGGAGGGGACCTCCTCTTAATATAGACGTTCTTCTCAGGATCAGGAATATAACAGGCTTTACTAACAATCACAAAGAAACAGTGATATAAAAAAAAGAGGGAATGAAAGATACTAGATCCCAAATGTAGACTTAAGGAACTCATCAACTCTTTAAAGCATAGTAGCATTTGTATCATAAAAGTCCCAAAAGAAGAGTGAGAAAAAGGGACAGAAGGCTTATTGGAGCACATTATAGCTGAAAACTTCCATAATCTGGGGAAGGAAACAGACCTCAAAATCCAAGAAACCGAGAACTCCCATTAAATCCAACAAAGCACTAACACCATTACCACTTACAGCAATGGACAGATCATTTAAACATAAAATCAGTAAGGAAACAATGACTTTGAATGATACACTGGATCAGATAGACTTAACATATATTCAGAACATTTTATCCTAAAGCAGCAGAATACACATTCTTTTTTTTTCTTTTTAAGATTTTATTTATATTTGTGAGAGAGAGCAAGAAAGAGAAAGAATGAGCATGAGTGGGGGGAAGGACAGAGGGAGAAGCAGATTCCCTGCTCAGCAGGGAGTCTGACAAGGGACTTGATCCCAGGACTCTGGGATCACGACCTGAGGTGAAGGCAGATGTTTAACCAGTTGAGCCACTCAGGTGCGCAGAATACACATTCTTTTTGAGTGCACATGGAACATTTTTGAGAATAGATCACATAGTGGGTCACAAATCAGCCCTCAACATGTACAACAAGATTGAAATCAGGGATCCCTGGGTGTCTCAGTGGTTTAGCACCTGCCTTTGGTCCAGGGCATGGTCCTGGAGTCCCAGGATCGAGTCCCACATCAGGCTCCTTTCGTGGAGCCTGCTTCTCCCTCTGCCTGTGTCTCTGCCTCTCTCTCTCTCTCTCTCTTTCTCTCTCTCCTGGTCTTTCTTGAATAAATAAATAAAATCTTTTAAAAAAAATCATAACCATGAATATTTTCAGACCACAGTGCTATGAAATTTGAACTCAACCACAAGAAATAGGAAGGCCACAAATACATGGAGGTTAAAGAACATTTTTTTTTTAAAGATTTCATTTATTTATTCATGAGAGACACACAGAGAGAGGCAGAGACATAGGCAAAGGGAGAAGCAGGCTCCTTGCAGGGAGCCTGATGTGGGACTTGATCCCCAGATCCCGGATCAGGACCTGAGCCGAAGGCTCAACTGCTGAGCCACCCAGGCGTCCTGAGGTTAAAGAACATTGTAAAGAATGAATTACTTAACCAGGAAATTAAAGAAGAATAAAAAAGTGCATGGATGCAAATGAAAATACAGCATTCCAAAGTCTTTGGAATCCAGCAAAGGCAGTCCTAAGAGGGAAGTGTATTGCAGGCCTACCTCTAGAAGCAAGAAAAGGCTCAAATAATGCAAACCAACTTACCATGTAAAGGAGCTAGAAAAAGAGCAGCAAATAAAGCCTTAGGCCAACAGAAGGAAAATAATAAAGATTAGAGCAGAAATAGATGATACAGAAACAAAAAAAAAAAAACAGTAGAATAGATCAGTGGAACCAAGAGTTGGTTCTTTGAAAGAATTAATAAAATTGATTTACCCCTAGCCAGACATATCACAAAGAAAAGTGAAAGGACTGGAATAAAATCGCAAATGATAGAGGAAAGATCACAACTGACACCACAGTATGTAGAAAACCTGAAAGACTCCAAAAATTTGCTGGAACTAACACATCAGTTCAGCAAAGTTGCAAGCTATAAAATCAATGTACAGAAATCTGTTGTTTTTCTGTACACCAGTAGTGAAGCAGCAGAGAAAGAAAGGTATCCATCCCATTTACAGTTGCAACAAAAACCATAAGATGTGTAGGAAGAAACCTTACCAAAGAGGTAAAAGATCTGTACTCTGAAAACTATAGAACACTTGAAGAAAAAAATTGAAGAGGACACAAGGAAATGGAAAAACATTCCATGCTCATGGATTGGAAGCACAAACATTGTTAAAATGTCCATTCTACCCAAAACATCTACACATTTAATGCCATCCATATCAAAATACCACCAGAATTTTTCACAGAGCTAGAACAAACAATCCTGAAATTTGTGTGAAACCACAAAAGATGCTGAGTAGCCAAAGCAGTCCTGAAAAACAAAACCAAAGATGGAGGCATCACAATTCCAGTCGCCAAGCTGTATTACAAAGCTGTAATCATCAAGACAGTATGGTACTGGCACAAAAGCAGACACATAGATCAATGGAACAGAATAGAGGATCTAGAAATGGATCCACAACTAAAAGCAGGAAAGAAAATATCCAATGGACAAAAGACAGTCTCTTCACAAATGGTGTTGAGAAAACTGGACAGCCACATTGCAGAAGAATGAAATTGGACCACTTTCTTACACCATACGCAAAAATAAATTCAAAATGGATGAAAGACCTCAATGTGGGACAGGAAATCACCAAAATTCCAGAGAACACAGGCAGTAACCTTGTTCACCTCAGCTGTAGCAACTTCTTACTGGACACATTGCTGGAGGCAAAGGAAACAAAAGCAGAAATGAACTATTGGCACTTCATGAAGATAAAAAGCTTCTACACAGTGAAGGAAATAATAAAACAAAAAGGCAGACTATGAAATGCGAGGAGATAAGACATGATATTGACAAATGATATTTGATAAAGCAGTATTATTATCGAAAATATAACATCAAATTCAGTGCTCAAGAAACAAGTAATCCAATTAAGAAATGGGCAGAAGACATGAATAGATATTTTTCCAAAGAAGACATGAGGAGGATGGCTAACATGCACATGAAATAATGCTCAGCTTCACCCATCATAAGGGAAATGCAAATCAAAGACACACTTTCTAAGGATTTGGGACAATGAGTTGACTTAGGTCAGATTGGATGTCAGTTAATAGTATAGCATACTATATCTTATCTTACTATACCATCTTTTTTGGGGGGAAACATAGATTTAGATTATTTTATATAACTTAATTCTAGCTTTGAAGTTGCCTTTGGTGTTTTGGTGAATTAATACTGATAATTTAATGTAGAATTGGTCAACATTTTAAATGCTGGAGAATGAATGGTGTTTGTGCTTTTTATTAAGTATTTTATTAAGTATTTCAGAAGCTTCACAGTCCAGAACAGATGTTGATTCATTATAAATGAAGTAATTTTAAGATACTTTTTAAAAAGCAAAGATTACATTAATATATTCTTCCTGCAAGAAAACTTAAGATAATTCAAAAAGGGAGACATTACAAGGGCCTCCTTTTTTACTTTGCTAGCTTACGAAAACCTGTTTTAGTAGGTGGATATTTATCCAAATTTTCTTGATGTGCAGGCAATTGTGTGTGTGTGTATTTTATATATAATGAAATGCATAGTTCTACCTCTGTTTTTAAGCATAAATAATTTAATCTATATGTGTTCTGAAGATTTGAAATGAAAGAAATGCCATATTTTGACCAAGAATGTTATTATCTACAGAAAGCAAGGATAGGATGTTTCGACATTGGAAATTCACTACATTACCAAAGAGGAACAGTTACATAATCACCTCAGTAGATGCTAAAGACATTTGATAAAATTTAATACCTTCTCTATGGAAGTTGAGGCAGAAAAACCTACTTGATTTATTTTCTTTGCTGTTCTGGAAGTAACTTTTGTGTGTCTATGTGTATCACAAACTCAATACAAGTTAATTGAAAAATGAATAAAGAAAAATCATCTGTGATTGAACTACTGAGATTATGCATGTATATTTTCTCAGAATCACTGTGTAGTTTGCTAATGAATTCATTATATCTTTGCCATGTCATTACATCTTTTTTTCCAAAGGCATATAATATGGAGCAATTATATGTTTGGACATTTAAATTACGCAGATTCTATATTTCTCTGATGATATTTCTTAGGATATAGTTAAATAATCTGGACAATGGGTAAATGAAAATTTTTTCTTTTATGAATTTACCCATCTGAAAGTTAAAATAGCAATGGTGTATGAGAAAGTTCATTTACATATGTGACATGTTGACAGAAAAACAGAAAATTACGTCAATTGTATATAAAACAACCAAACCTTTACATTTTGTTGGTGCTTTTAGAAATGTCTCTCTTTTTTTGACTCCTCAGAAAACCAGACAAACAAAACAATAGATGCTTCCGTTAATAAGAAAGCAGCTGATAGCACATCACAGGTAAGAGTTTTCCTTCTGTTTCAAAGTAAAATTCTAATTACAATGCACAGGGTAGTGGATTTCGATCAGTATTCTAAGGAATGAAAATTAAGTTAGTAATCAAACTTTTCAGACCTAGAGTTTCTGTTTTTGTTTTTCAGTTTCTACTACTGAGATTTCTTGCCTGTACATTCATTAATATAATACTTTCCTTTATTTTTTTGAATATATTCTTAAAAGCTGCTTTAGAGTCTTTGCTGAATTCAACTTCTAGTTCTACTTGGAGTCATTTTCTCTTGACTGTCTTTTGTCTTTAGTTGGGTTCTATTTTATTGGGTTTTGCATATTTGGTAATTTTTGATAAATGTAATGTTTAGTAAATTTTGAAAATTGGACCTTGTAAATATGTTGTAGCAGGTGGATTTTGTTACATTCTTTAAGGATTTGTTAAGAACTTCTAGTTTTGGGGATCCCTGGGTGGCGCAGTGGTTTAGCGCTTGCCTTTGGCCCAGGGCGCAATCCTGGAGACCCGGGATCAAATCCCACATCGGGCTCCCGGTGCATGGAGCCTGCTTCTCCCTCTGCCTATGTCTCTGCCTCTCTTTCTCTCTCTCACTGTGTGCCTATCATAAATAAATAAAAAAAATAAAAATTAAAATTAAAAAATTAAAAAAAACTAGTTTTGGATTTTAAGATTGTTGTGTGTGTTAGTTAACAAATCATTTTCTATGAAGTCATTATTAGAGAAAGATTTATAGTTGTAAGATTTAGAATTAAATCATTATCTTTGGATTTGGCCTGAGTTTTTTAATGTCAAGGAATTATATTCTTTAATTTTGTAAAGTCTGAATTTTGCAGTTAAAAACTTAGTCATTTGGAGCTGATCTCAGTATAATATATTAATTATGATTAGCATTTTTTACACAGCACATGTCATGCCTGGTGTTAGGCTCTTTGTATGCATATTTGGATTATTGCTCATAATAGATCCTATATGCAGAGTTTGGAAATTGAGGATATTATCTTTTAATATAAATTCACATTGCTGATATGTGCTGGAACTAAAAGATGCCCTTAGTCTTTTTGACTCAGATTACTGGTTCCTTACATCTATATTGTACTACTTTCCTTCTTTGTTGCTGTATGTAGTTAAAATTATATTTCTAATTTTTAAAAATTAACATTTCTAATGATTTGGGACACTAAGTTGACTTAGGTCAAATTGGATGTCAGTTAATAGCATAGCACACCATATCTTATCATACCATACCTTCTTTTGGGGGAAAAACATAGATTTAGATTATTTTATAGAACTATTTATATAAGTATTTTATACAACTTAATTCTAGCTTTGAAATTGCTTTTGGTGAATTAATATTAATATAGTGTAGGATTGGTCAACATTTTAAGTGCGGGAAAATGAATGGTGTTTATATACTTATCAGTTAAAGCACTAAATCACTTAATAACCCTATGCAATTGACAAATTAAAAAATTTCTATAATTGTAAAAAAATTTCAAAATTACTTTCTCTATGACAGATGTATAGCTCATGAGTATTCGTAATCATTTGTCTGACAAACTCTGTGTTTTCAGGTAAAGCCATTTAGTGGTCCAGATTGAAACAGGCTACTCATTATCCTTGTTGCCCCTAAGTATTATTTCATTCTTCTTTATGTCTGCCAGAGTTTCCTTTGCAAAATGCAGAAGTTTTGTTTTTCAGAGTGGAAAAGCCACAGGCAGTGATTCGGGTGGTGTCATTGATCTCACAATGGATGATGAAGAGAGTGGAGCTTCACAAGGTACTCATAAGTAATAGTACTACTACAAAGGAATGCTTTGATAACATTTTTCCCGTTTAACCGAGTAATCAGTGAAGACAGATCTCTACAGCATTATGCTTGATGTATTTGTATCTATTTTAGAGTGAGAATTTTGTATATTAGAATTAAAAAATTGAAATCTAATTTTGAATGAATATGAACAAAGCATAGAGGAAAACAGCAGTTAGGAGACTATTTAACTTATGGAGAATCCCTCTTTTTATATCTTTTATTTCACTTGATCTTTGTAATAGCCTTGTAATGCCCATTTTAGAGTTGATAATTGATTCAGAGAGTGCAAGTCAGAGTCAGTAAAGGAGCTGGGAATCAAACGCAGGTCTTTTGACTCTAAATTAAATGTTCTTTCTGTGTGTGTTCATGTGTCTGTGTGCACCCATGCCCTTTAATGTAGGTACTTTCAAGTGTGTATACATTTAATTTTGGTTATTTGAATTAATTTTCTTTATTTAAGATTATATAAACAAAAATGAAGGTGATGTTAAAAAGCCTGCACATCCAAAATGCTCAGTATTATTCTGAGTTAATTACAATATTTATAAATTAAATTGGATAGATGTTAACTAATATTCTCAATAATTCTTCTGCAGTGTTAATAGATAGTGTGAATAAAAAGTTCCATGGTTAAATATGCTGGGGAAATGCTGAATTAAATAAAAATTATATGGGATTTCCCCCCCTTTAGTAGACTTCTCTGAGCCTTTACTATGCTAATTAATAATGTAATTTCTCTAAGAATGATTCAAGATACATAAAATATTTCTCAAACTTGGCTGCACAACTATTTACAGATATATGTGTGAAACTGTGGTGATAATTACATAATGTATGTGGAAAATTTAGTAAGATAAGTTACTAGGTTAATTATTACTTAACATTAAATTTTTTTTTTTTTAATGTTCTTTTTTTTTTTAATTTTATTTATTTATGATAGTCACACACACACAGAGAGAGAGAGAGAGAGAGAGAGAGAGAGAGAGGCAGAGACACAGGCAGAGGGAGAAGCAGGCTCCGGGAGCCCTATGTGGGATTCGATCCCGGGTCTCCAGGATCACGCCCTGGGCCAAAGGCAGGCGCTAAACCGCTGCGCCACCCAGGGATCCCCACTTAACATTAAATTTAAAAATAACCTATAGATTTAAAAACATATTTTAGAGAATAGGATCGTTAATTGGTTTTAGGGAAACAAGTAGCTATACAATTGATTATGTGACAGTAAACTCAAGTTTTTTGGTATAAATCTGATGTAAAATTGGAAGATTTATCCAATCATTTGTCCAAATTTAATTCATGCCAGTATATTATTATTAAAAAGTTTAAAATCATCTGCATTGATTTTTCTTTCTTTTTTTTTTATAGACAAGTCCAAATATAATGAATCCCTAGAAGATAAAATAAATACAGGTTATTTTTGAGAGGACACAGGTAGAGCTGATTCTGAATAAAAAAGTCAAGTAAGCAAAGTTATCAGTGCCCTTGCCATTCCTTTTCTAGCATCCCTGCTTTGTGGGGCCTTTTCCCATGGCCCCACCTTTGAGTATACCTTAAATTTTCCATTCCAAAGTTCATTGTTTTCCATCAACACCCAGTTAAAGCAGCTAATGCTTTCATTTTTTTACAGTGTAGTGAAGAATTCCTTAGAATTCAGAAATCAGTGGGGATCATTTTGGATAGAAGGGCTTTTGTTATAGTCTTTACATTATATAGTGGTTACCTTTTTTTAAGGGCTTCTTCTGAGATGTGAACATTTATTCCATAGGCTGTCCAAGACCTTTTTTGAAATCAGACACTCTATTCTATTTTAAAGACTGGGTAGTGTAAATAAGCAACCACCTATATTATCAAACAAAAGAACCTAAACATTTGTAGAGTAATTAGAGTTCAAGACAACTCGTAAAAAACTCATCAATTTATAGATATTTGTTTAGATGGATGTCCTTGATAGAGATACATACATGTATGAATATAGGAAATGAAATAATTCTGATTGATATGATATTGTATTGAGTTCAGAAATAGGATTCTTTCATAAAAAAACAATGTAAAACTATATATCTATAAATGTGAATTAGAATATGTATTAGAACCAATGGTGAATTGTTTAAGGCCATGATATAATGTTTTAACCGGGCAGATGTGCACGATTAAAATAGAAATAAATTGTTCTCTTAGTGGTAAATGTGACTGAGTGGCAAGCAAATGTAAAATTCACAAATAAGAGGAAAACCTGTATTTCTAATTTTTGTTTATCATTAATCACAATGTCTGTCTTTTAATTAATAGAACCTAAAAAGCTAAACCATACTCCTGTGTCAACCATGGGTTCTTCTCAACCTGTGTCTCGACCATTGCAACCCATCCAGCCAGCACCACCTCTTCAGCCATCTGGGGTGCCAACAAGTGGACCATCTCAGACAACCATACATTTACTACCTACAGGTAACTTGCCAAATCATTGAATTGAAGCTTTTAGTTTTGCCTAAAATGAAATAGGACTATGGAAGTAAGTGGAAAAATTAGATTGAAAATTAAGGATAATTCTTTTATTTTGGTACAGTACAACTTTTTGAATGTAATATAGCTTAGATTTGCTGACCATCTTCAATAGCAGCACAGAAACAGAGTGGTTATAAAGAAGAGAAATTATATAGGTCTCTGTCATGTGTCACTATAAGCAGCAGAAATGAATATGGTTTCTCTTAAGAGGATGAGTGGAATGATTCACTCTGATTATGACCACAAAGTAATAATTGACTGATGAAGAAATAAATCTTAAATGATTCTTAATGTGAACTAGTTTTAACTGGCCTAACCCTACCATTTGGAGATATGTACTGATATTTTTACTCACTGCCTCTCAAGAGGTTATTAAATCCCACCTACATTTTCAAAATGTAGTATAGATCTCCTAAACTGTTGGGAAGCCAATCTAGACAATTTGCCTTTTTTTTTTTCTTTTTAAGACTGAATTTATGTATTTATTTGAGAGGGAAAGTGCACGCATGCACTAGCAGAGGGACAGATGGTGGGGTGTAGGGTAGAGGGGAAGGGAGAGGGATAGAATCTCAATCTGACTCTGTGTTGGATGTGGAGCCCAACATGGGGCTCACTCACACAACCCCAGAACCAAGAGTCAGACAAAACTGACTGAGCCACCCAGGTGCCCCAAGACAATTTGTCTTTTTTATAAAATAGCCCATCATTAGAGATTTTTCTGCAAAGTATATATGGACTTTTCTCATTAAGGAAAACATTGAATTCACATGGAATTGTATCTAGTGAAATCAAAGTTTAAGTCACCAATTTAGATAATTTAGAAGGAAATATCATTAAGCAAACCATGTACAGTATAAATAATAAAATGGGTAATAAAGAGATGAAGAGGTGTAAGGATTCCTCCTTGTGTACTTTTTTTCCCTTTCTAAAGGCTCACATTGAAAGTTTGGATATGTAAAGATTAAGTAAAGATGTTAGTAAGTAAGCCATTAGTAAAGAAACCTTTTTATTTATGTCATAGTCAGTATTTACCTCCAAATTTGTTTTATTATGAAATCTGTTTTTCCATGTGAAAGTAGATTGATAATTATTTTTTATTATATATTTAATATGAGGTTACTTGTGAAATGTGATGATAATTCAGAGAGTTATTAACAAGAATGTGTTAACCCCTAAAATAATTATTGTAGTTCCATGCTGCCAGTGAACATTTAGGACTTTTTTGAGAAATATATGTTAATATAATCATAATATATATGATGTTAACATCACTCAAGGCATGAATGTTCTCTAGAATATAGATTAGGAGGAATGCTGGAGTAGAGAAGGAAGAATTCTGTATTTTAATTAATGTTTTATTGTTTTGAATTAGGAGATGGTTTGGGTCACCTAAAGAAAATACCAGTTACATTAGCTAGCCAGTTTGTTGAACTGTGGGAATATAGTTATTCTTGGATTTGCCATTAGTAGAAGGCCTAGAAGACCCCAAATCCTTCTGTATTAAGAATAATTAAACATTGAGAAGTGAGGAGTGAAAATTTGCTGTTTTAAGTCACTCCCTTAAGGTCATACTCTCAAGTCTTTATCTTCACAGGCTTAAGTCAAAACTAAAGAGTGGGAAGGGCATTGGACATGGTTGAAGTGTTTTTTTTTTTTTTTTTTTTTTTTAAGTTTGGTTTGTAATAATAGTATTGTTAGTTTTGGTTAGCCATATCAGTCTTCTCTTTCAAGATTACAAAAGGAGAGTGTTGTCTGTATTTCTCTCTTTATTGTAGTTAGATTTTGTGCAAAATTACTTACCATTAATAACTGTTTACTTAAAACTGCATTTCAATATGTTTTTCTGCTTTTCATTAGCTCCAACCACCGTGAATGTAACACATCGTCCAGTAACTCAGGTGACCACAAGACTCCCTGTACCAAGAGCTCCTGCAAACCACCAAGTAGTTTATACAACTCTCCCAGCACCACCAGCTCAGGCTCCCCTACGAGGAACGGTTATGCAGGCTCCTGCTGTTCGGCAGGTCAATCCCCAAAATAGTAAGAGACTCTTTACTTGTGTGTGGCCTCAAGTTAAATGTATTTCTTCAACATTTAGTGGGCTTATATTGACATTATATTTAGCAAAAAATGCTTATCATATTAAAACTATTATTAATTTTTTTCTTCCCTAAAGAGTTGACCAGAAAAATTGGACATGTGTAATATATGATTTGTGCTCCATGTATTGTCTTCAATTTAATTTTATTTATGGGCTGTATTCTCACAATGCTCTGTTTGATAGTGATCTGCACTCTTTAAGAGATACCTTGCCTAATTAAAGTACGAATGAGCAATTGTGGCATAGCCCAAACGATGGCAATAATGGTTAAGCTGAGAAATAGAAGACAGGAAAATATTAAAGGAAATCTTTTGTTTCTACACACATACACATGCATCACGTGCATGCACACACACACACAATTTTATGTATATATTATATTCAGTAGTAAAATATAGTTTGTATAAAAAGCATATGAAAGTTTAAAGACAACTAACAAAATGACCCACCTGTGAAATCTTCACCATTCTAAAAAATAGAGCTTTATCAGTATCCTACAAACTTACTATAGTATGTCCACCCTTAATTGTTTCCCTCTCCCTTTTCATCAGCGGTAACCACCGTCTTTACTTTCTGCTTTACTGTCTGATTTTGCCACCTAAGTAAATATCACTAAAAATATTTAGTTTTGCCAAATTTAATAGCAAAGGCAAATCTAGCTATTTAAAGAAACTGCCATTGTTAGGTGATTATTTCAAGAAGAAAATAAACTAAGCAGAGTTTCTGGTTCACAATCTGACTTAACTTTTCTCAAGTTTATAAGAATGTTTTCTGGGAAATCAGTCAGTAAGGCCTCACCATAGTCAGGTACACACTATTGTATGGGCCAGGAACTGAATTTATGGCAGGAATATGGTCCAGGCAGTAGATGACTTTTTTTTTTTTAAAGAATTATTTATTTATTTATTTATTTATTTATTTATTTATTTATTTATTTATTTATTTATTCATGAGAAACACAGAGGGGGGGGGCAGAGACACAGGCAGAGGGAGACGCAGGCTCCATGCAAAGGAGCCTGATGTGGGACTCGATCCCCGGTCTCCAGGATCACACCCTGGGCTGCAGGCGGCGCTAAACCGCTGCGCCACCGGGGCTGCCCAGTAGATGACTTTAAACTGTCTGCTTATGTTGCCCTAATATATGTCAAAATAGTTTTCCGTTCAGTGAAATGAGTATCGTTAGTTGTTCAGCACGGCATGGAGAGAAAGTGAGGAGCCTCATTAACACAAACCAAGGATAACTTAATAGTCAAGATTTCCGTTCTAGTTGAAAGGATGAGACAGCAGAGATATTTTTGAGGACGGCTTCAGTTTGTCTACCTTTAGAGTTATACTGCTCTGTTCTGGTCTGTTTGCCTTCTACATATGGTATACCACTGTGTTCTGTTGTAGGATTTTTGCTTAGAGTTCTTTTGATAAGGATTCCATTTCTTTCTCTCCGGGGCTGGATCTCCTGTTTCTTGTATCTCATATTTTCCTCTTTATTGATTTTCTGTCTCATAGTTGGTGGCACACATCCTCCAAGGGCTTCTTGGAAAGGGTTCATGGAAATAAGATTTTTTTTTTTTTGATTGCTTGCATTTTGGTTGCATGCATACAGGAAAATTTCTTTTTTCTCATGCTCAATTATTTGGTTGAGTGTAGATTTCCAGGTTAGAAATGGTTTTCTTTCCAAATTTTAAAAACATCACTTTGCTGGCTTCAAGTGTTTAATCGGTGTTCTACCAAATTTACAATAGAAATCTAGGGGATTTTGTTTGTGTTTTTTTAAGAGGAGGAAAGAGATGGGGGGGGGCAGAGGAAGAGAGGGACACTTAAGCATCGAGATGTAGGGCTTGATCTCTCAACCCTGAGACCATGACATGAGCCGAAATCAAGAGTCAGATGCTTAACTGACTGAACCACCCAGGTGTCCCTAGAATTCTAGTTTTATGCCTTAACTTTCTTTTGTAGGTGTCACAGTTCGAGTGCCTCAAGCAACTACATATGTTGTAAATAATGGACTAGCCCTGGGATCAACAGGACCTCAGCTCACAGTGCATCACCGACCACCACAAGTGCATACTGTAAGTATTGTTTGGATTTCCAAAATTCTCAGCTGTAGGGCTGCCAAATATTATTATAGTTAGCATTTATCCTTCAAGCTGGTTGTATCAAGAGGAAAAGACACGTCTTCTGTTTTTCTGACAGAAGTTTATTCAGGAGAATATATCTTAACTGTTATAAACATCCTTGATGACCATCATCCCTAAGAACATGCTTGTGGGTGGTATATAGTGTTCAAGAAGAGTCCACAGCTGGGTCATATAAAGTGAAATAGACCATTTTTAATTTGTGGTTACATTAAAAAGATGTGTTTTTTGAGTATTAAAAAGAGTATTTTAAGAAGTATTTTTTCATGTTCTAGCTTTACTCTTTTCCTCAAAGCCTTATATAGCAGTTCTAATTGGTGCATTGCCATCACTTTATTTTTTTTAATAATCCACTGGCATTGGGAATTCATTTGTTAAGAGATAACAGAGAGGATCAAAGATTTCCCCTTAGATTTAGGCTCCAAAACAATGTCCCAATATTCTGTGACATGATTTTTAACAGTGTTTGGTATGCTATACCATGTATATGGAAATACTGGCTTTTTGAGAAGGGAAGGAATTGAAATTTCATATCACTTTTCGTCAAGCAAATGTCCCTTTTAAAGTATGCATAATAATTGCTAGCATTTCTTGAGCACTTATTGTGTGCCAGGCATTGTTAGTACTTGGTCCTCACTCAGGAATCCTTTAGGACTTTTGCTTTCCTTTTTTATTTATTTTTTATTCTTTATTATAGATATAGCAGCTGATGCACAGAGAGGTTGAGTAACCAGCCCAAGATCATATCTCATAAAAACCCATACATTCCACCTTTCTAGTCTATCCTGTTATTTTATTACTCCACTATAATGAAAAAAAATTAATGTTACTGGAGCATTGTATACCAGGCACTCTATCAAGTACATGTGTTATTTAATTTAATTCTTACAACCCTATGAGGATTATTCTCCTTTTGATAGAAAAAAGATACTGTGTCACAGAGACGTTAAGTGGTTACTCAGGTTACTCACTGTCATTACCCAAGCTAATATCAAAGCCATTTAACTTACGTGGTCTGATCCCAGCATCCTTAGTGTTTTTGTTGTTTCAAAACTGACCCTGTTAGAATATGTGGTGAATGTGCCATTACTGTTGTTTGCAGCTACAGATAATTTCTTTCATTCCCTATTCCTTAAAAAAATATAGAGTAAAAATCTCTATTTTACAAATTTGATGACCTATCAAGAGCTTTATTTTAAAAACCAGAGCCCATGTGTCTTGTCTTAGAATAAACTATGTATCTCAGGAGGAACATTTTTAAAATTTTAATTGATTTAAAACATGCTTTTAATAAGAATTTCAAAATCTATAAAAAATAGAAAGTATGCAATGATGATTCCCACTTACGTATCACTAATCTTCCAGCACTTAATTAGTATATGGCTAATCTTTTTCATATCTAATGCCACCCACTTATTCTGACAACCCATGTTTACATAAGGTTATTTTATTTTATTTTTTTAAAGATTTTATTTATTTATTCATGAGACACACACACACACACACACACACACACACACACACAGAGAGAGAGAGAGAGAGGCAGAGACATAGGCAGAGGGAGAAGCAGGCTCCATGCAGGGAGCCCGACGTGGGACTCGATCCCGGGACTCCAGGATGATGCCCTGGGCCGAAGGCAGGCGCTAAACTGCTGAGCCACCCAGGGATCCCCTACATAGGGTTATTTTAGAGGAGATCCCTATTAATTTATTTGTAAAATCTGAATAAAAGCCTCCATTACAATGGCAAAAATGAAAAAACAAAAGTTTTTCCAGATACATATTTATGATTTTTTCTATACACATTACTGCTACTAAGTTTTGACAAGGCATGGAGATTAAAATGATATCATGAGACCTTTACAGAGTTCATTATTTAGTGTATGTAAATTATCCTTTTTAGGAAATACATATTTAAAACATAGTTTTTGTTAAATGAATTTTAGTTCAGGAAATCTTCTTTATTTCATTACTTTCAGTCTGAAGTCAGTGAGCAAATGGTATCTTTCACTTGGAAAAAAAATGTCACTCATATCCCTTTTTCCTGGCTCACACGTGAATCTTTTTTTTTTTTAATTTATCACTATAATAATTATTAAAACCTAGATATAATAATAGTCCAGTGTTAGAAACAAGTCAGTTTTAATTCATACACTTATTCATGCTTTTTCATCATATGGCCTTAACCTACCTTTCCAAATTTCTTATTCATATGTCCTATGTCTAAGTAATTGTGAATGCTTGATTTTGCCCATAAATCCCCTTACTTTCTTATACCCATGCCCTTATTCATGCTTCACCTATTGACAGTAAGGTACACACTATTTCTCTATTTCTAAATCTCACCTTTCATAGTCTAAATGCCACAATTTTCGTGCAGACTGACCAAGAACATAATATACATTCAGTATTAAGTATGCTTATTTATGATATGCTTCTGTCCTTAGGTGGGAGAAATGGCTTAAAAATGAAAGTAGAGTTGAATACTCAAATTAAATACATATAGGAGACTGCCACACATGATATTTAAAAATGTTACATTATTCTAAAATGAGAATCTGTGGCATAAATAATTAATTATTTATTAGAAATAGATGATTATTTTAGTTTCTATCAAAATGATGTTCCATCAGCAAAGGCTTTTATTTCCTGAGGAAAGCTCAATATTTTGGAAGTCCAAAGTCTATAGGAATAACTTCAGCACTGTTATTTATGGCATGATTGATCACAAATCAAATAGGACTAGCCACTTGTGGTATAGTATTTGGTATTTCTTGGTATTCTTGATGTAAAATGATCTCTCTCTAAATGATCTCTTAGATGTTTTAGTTCTAGCATTCAGAAATAATCTTCTCTGTGATCATTATTAAATCAACATGACTCTTGTTTTGTTAGGAGCCCCCACGCCCTGTGCACCCAGCCCCCTTACCAGAAGCCCCACAGCCACAGCGTCTGCCCCCAGAAGCTGCCAGCACATCTCTGCCTCAGAAGCCACACTTGAAGTTAGCACGAGTTCAGAGTCAAAATGGCATTGTACTATCATGGAGTGTCCTGGAGGTAGATCGAAGCTGTGCCACTGTTGACAGCTACCATCTCTATGCTTACCATGAGGAACCCAGTGCCACTGTGCCCTCACAGTGGAAAAAGATTGGAGAAGTAAAGGCACTTCCCTTGCCCATGGCATGCACTCTCACCCAGTTTGTATCTGGCAGCAAATACTACTTTGCAGTACGAGCCAAGGATATTTATGGACGTTTTGGACCTTTCTGTGATCCTCAGTCAACAGATGTGATCTCTTCTTCCCAGAGCAGTTAAACCTTGGAGCCTTTATCTCTTCCTCTTTCCAAGTTCCACTTTTTGGTCTTGTTTTAATCTTGTGCATGATATTCATTGTAAAATCCACATTGTGCAAGATTTCTTCGACAGATGTGTATATACACTACATTTGTTTATAATCAGAAGTAAAATAAACAGCCCATGAAGCAAGAGTCTTTTCCTGGACAATTGAAACTTCAAGGTTTTGAAATGTAAATGTGCACCTTGCTTTAGTTTTAAGGCTGGGGAATATGTGTGGGTGTTTATGTATGTTTTTCCCTATTTATATGTTTACTGCAGTGGAATCTCCCATTTCCATTCTCAAATTTACCTCTCTTCAAGGTATAAAGTAAGTAGATCAAGGGATCCGAGGTATGGTATGTAACTGGCATGATTCTGCTTCTACGGGATCTGTAGGTTCATAGTTAAATGATTTAAGCTGAATCTAAACAAAACCCAAAGAAAGAAATAAAAAGCAAAATGGTTAAATAGCTGAAAATAGGTTAATTTGAACACAGGAAAGGATCTATTAATCTTTTTTGTTTTTTTTTTTTTCATTGTTAATTAGGTAAAAAAGATTTGCATTGGCCCCTCTTTACTAATCTGGCTCTTACATTTATTTTGTGCCTTAAAGATTAACTGCAAAAATAAACGTGACCATTTGTCCATTGTTTGATCTTCTCTTTCAGCCTTTCACCCTTCATTCCTCCTTCTTCTCCACTAAATATAGAATGTTCCCCTCAAGTCAATTTTAAACCAAGGCTTTTAGATATATTCTTATCGATGGCATCACTACATTGAACTCCCAAAAATTTGACTTAGTCTTCTCTAAGAACATAAGTGCTTTTGTCTGTGGTCACTGTTTAAATTAACTGTGTAAAATGGACCAAGAGAAGAAAGACCATATTGTCTAAGAAAATTGTCCTTCAAACATATTTTAAGACTTACGTTGCATATTGTGTTAGAGATTATGAAAGCAGTGCTATTTCCTTTATTACCCAAAGCATAGTATTCTGTCATAGGTAGTAAATAATAAAATTCAGAAAATATAGTAAGCTAAAATATCAAGGGGGAAAGCTTTATTTCCTTATTAATCTCATATCATTTTTTCTGTTTTAACCTTTTAACTTTGTTTTGATGGTGCCAAGTTTTGTCTGATTTACCCTCTGTCAGCTTTGGACAGAATTTAAAGTATATCCTTTGGGGTTATCTTATGTAACATTAGATACAACTTTCTGTGCATCTCTGTCCTCTTCAGAGTTGATCAAATTCCATTTCAGTCATGGAGTATGAGTGCCAGCTTTACTGGTATCAGATAGGTATTCAAGTGTAGGTAGTTTAGGGCAGGAGACATGGGGTGAGTTTGGGGACGAAGAGTATGGTTGGGACTAGTTTGAAAGAAATTCATGGAGTTTGTGAAACAATTTTTCAAGTTAACTTCCCTTACCATATTTGAATCCGTATCTCTACTTTCTCAAAGTGAATTCATTTTTAATTTTTCTTAGAATTATATGAGGGAGCTATCCCTTCATTAATGCTGCTTTGTTTGCAACTTTGATAGCTTGTAATGGGAAGCATTCTAGTTGTAAAGAAACTCTTTAATAAGAGACTTCACTGGCCAGTGTACTGCCACATTAGGTGTGAAGTTTGATGCAGAAGAAAGCCTACAGATTGCCAAAATGTAAGTGCTCTAAAACCTTCCTTTCACTTTCAGAAAATGAGACAATGAGAAGTAAAGTTTTCATGAATCAAATTTGCCAACCAGCTATGTAGATGTTACTCATTCTAGGACTAATGATGATAAAAGAAGTTGTCGATGTCATGCCAATGAAAATTGTAAAAGGGAGAAAATTGATGACCTTCTAGATGTGTATGAACACCTATCTGTATCTGCATGTGTATATGTTTTTACCTGCAGTGGTTGCATTGTTGATTATGTGTTCAAGATCATTCCTGTCTACAGAATGGAAAACCCATGTTCTAAATTGTTCTTTATTGGCCGGTTTTATGGTCCTGTGATGACAATTTGCTTACCTAGCCTAGAAAAGCTTCTCTTGGTGAATATTTTTATTTATAGTCACTAATCTTTTTTTTTTTTTAAAGCTTTCATAGCATTATATAATCAGGTAAAGAAAGCCCAGTAGAATGAAAATATTATTTTAGCCTATATTGTATGTCTTCTGTCAAAGAAAAATATAATAAATTCTCAAATAGTAACCCTAAAAATACATTTACTACAACAAAATTAAACTTTTTATTCCAGATGGTGGAAGGAAGGTACAAAGAGAGACTGTAATTATTTGAGGAAAGCGTATATTATGAGATACTTTCCTCAAATTAGCATGCCAAGGGATTTATAGGCAACAGCTGTATTGAATTTACTGAAAAGTGCTAGGCTAGAACTATAGGCTTTTATTTTGGGCAGGTTTTAATGTTGATAAGCTCTGACTTTCGGTTTGTTTTGTTTCTTTTGGGAGAGAGAATGGAGGACTCAACTAGAAATAGCTACTGATTACAGACTATATTGTAGCAGTTCACACTCCATGGTACTTTTTCACAAAGTATTACAAATAAGTTTGATTATCCCATTTTGGGAATGCAAGTTTGCCACAGTTTTAGCCTGACAGTACTTGTGTAAGTATTGCCTTATTGGAAATCCTGACAACTTCTCATATTTTGACCTGAAATATAGGATGTTCATATGGCATTTGAAGGTAATGGTGATGTTTGTTACTCTCTGTTTTGCACTTTGTCAGTAATTTTCACCCTGTTTTAAGTGTGAGTAAGCCTCTTTTTAAAATTATGTTCTTGCCAGTAAATTTATAAATTACAAAGACAACATCTGTTGTTAACTTTATGAGGCAATTATATCCCTATTTCTCTAGACTCACTTTGAAATATGCAGAATATTGTGTGTACTGTTTAATACAATAGATGCTCATGAGAGAAGGGAAGAGTACAGCTTTTCTTCCCTGAAAAGTGAATATTTATTGGGATGCCATTTGCCTCATAGAGAGTGTTCCCCACTCGTCCCACCCCCATTGCTAGATAAAAGATTTAATTGGGAAACATGACTTAAAGCAAGGAGCTTAGAATTTTTGGTACATCTGTCTGCAAAATTCCTTACGCAGGCTGCACTGTACAGTTCTCTCACTGTATTGAGCAAGTGTTAACTTAGTTTTTGTCGTTTGCTCTTTTGCTTACATTTTCCAAATTATTTATGCAGCAAGGTGAATGTTAATATTGCATGATAGGCATTTATCTTGTTCCAAGAATTTTCCAGTACTGTACAAGATTAACAAAGTAATACCTGTGGTATCCTCTTCTCTTTCTTTGATACACTGTGATTTTAGCACATTGGAGTACTGAAAAGACCTTCCAAGTGTTCTCCCCAGCTTTCCTCCTTGGGCTATTTTAGTGTAGTATGATTTGTTATTTTAATTTTGTCATTGACTAGACATTGGCCTGTTTTATAAAATTTCCAGAAAAGCCATGCCCCAGTATTGTACTATTGGAAATAATTATCTAAGAACAATGTAGGATTCTGCATTCCTTACTCTTTACTGAGTGATGACCCTCTCCCACTTCTTAAAATTTTTGGACAAACAAAAAGAATGATCTCATGAGGTGTTTTTGTTAGTGTGACAGACTTAGATCTAATTCCTAAAACGCATTCCCCTTGGACCATCCAATGGGGAGGAACACATGTTTTGTCTTCTCTTCTTCAAATACTTTTATCATGCTACATAAGTTTATTTTTATTTGTAGAATCAGCTAAGTACCCATCATTTATATTTAAATGCTAGGGGTTTTTGTTTTTTTTTTTTAGTTTTGTTTGTAAATAAGGTAACTGGGCAATCAAACACCTTTTGGGGATCCTGGCTTTATTATTTTCTCAGCCATTTCAAAATTAAATACAAAAATAAATCCTTTGTAGTAAACTTGCATCCTGATTTTTCTTTATTGCAGTTGAAAATGTAAATAATAAGACAATGTAAGACCTTCCTAATGTCTAATATAAACTGGGCTATATCAAGTTGCCCAATTTTTATTAGGTTTTGAAGGTTTTTGTGGGTTTTTTTTTTCTTTTTTAAATGTACAGTAGAGTGGTGTCTGTATAAGTGTTAACTGTAGTGGGATTTTGTCCAGCAAGCCTGAAATTTATACTTTGAAATAAACTACTGGGTTTTTAACATTCTGAGTATTCGGATTCATTCTAGTTATTCTCAGCTCTTGTGTTGCTTTTGGAACGTCTCTCACCTTGTTAAGAATCACCCATCATACTGTATAATATGGTTTATTTAACTATATTAAGTAGTTAATGTGGCTAACAAGCGCTCAAACCACATACAGTTCTCTAGCTTTGGAAGAGAAGTTGTTAGGTAGAGGTGCTCCCAGATTAGATATGCTGCCTTTAACTAATGGGAGACCTAAGGTTTTATTGTGCCGAGTCTGCACCACAAAAAGATTTGGTGCTTGTTAATGACCAGAAGAATCACTAACTGTATTTCTGTTAGAAGTTCCTTTGAAAACGAAGCTCCAGCATTCCCCAGGGCTTTGTCATTACACATATTCAGCCAAAGGAAGGAGAAAAAGCATTGGAAGAGTACAAGTTCTTAGGGGCCAGGCCTGGAAGTGACACTAATCTCAGAGTCATTTGGCAAGAACCCTATCATGGCACAACCATCTAGGAAAACATGGGAGATGTGGGCTATGTGGCCAGGCATGAAAGGAGAATGTGGATCTGGATGAGCAGTTTCTGCCATACTCTCTTGTACATACCCTTGTATTCTAAAGCCAGGTATTGTTCTTTGCCTTCTAGAATGTATCTTCCAGACAGTGTCACCCTATGTAGTGAATGTTTGTTGTAAAAAACTATAAAATCAGAATATGAAAGTGACAGACTGAATTTAATATATTTTATTAAGATTAATTCTGAATGGAAAAGCATAGCTAAAATAGCGCCTTTGGAATCTTCTCTGCAACCTTCTATTCCCTCAACTCCCTCCTTCATTTTCTGTCACGTTTCAAAATTGGTTTCATGGTCATAAAATCAAAGTCGTAGATCTCTGGCATGCCCTTGTGGAGAGTTTTGTTGAAACGGTTCCAGTGAAAAACAGGAAGTCCACCTTGTGTGGTGGGACCACTAATGGCATAGGCTGTGTACTCCGAT